TATTGCGTAGATATCGCGAACGGACGATGGGTGATGCTGCTCTTTGGGCGCCATGTCGCTGTGGACTTGGCTATCTCATTTAGAGCTTGGGTTTGAAAGGTGAGGGGGAAGACACGTGGGTGTTAACTGGGAGTGAAGTCTCTTTGGGTATTGCCGGAGGGATTGGTTTTCATAGACGGAGACCATGGACAGGGAAGGGTGGCCTGCTCAGCCCTGAGAATTAAGGAAACTAAGCGCTAGTCCGGATATGAATACTTGGTGTTATTATGATATCATACACTATGGGAATAATCTGGTAAAGTGCATCAATACCGGTATTCCATGTGAAAATTCAATCATCAATTATCACCCAATGCTCACCTGACTTGCTGAAGTATGGGATAAGAGAGGTGATAAATTGAGGCGTGCTCGGGTACCGTACCACCCCACCAACTGCGGGCCTTACCCTTAACTTGGGCCCCACTGCGCCAGCTTGTATAATATCATATTGTGGCAGGCCTGATTTGCCCTACTGCCCTAATGAGGAGGGCAGAGGTCTTGTGTCTCCGAGTTCCCTTGGCGCGGGGTTTTTTTGATTCCCCTACTACCCTATGGATTGTTTAATGGTGATTAGTTATCAGAGGGGTTGACTTCCTGTCTCCTTGCTAATAACACAGGGGTTAACTGGTTCTTGGAATATTGAGGCATCATATCCCTGGATATCTTTCGTTTGGGGGGGGGGATCCTTACGTTATTAAACATTCGATGCACTCTTGGAGCGGATACACCTTCAAGGGAAGGGAAATAATAAACACGGATCACTGATCGCTGACGGTGAAATAGCTTCGTGCGCAAAGGAGTAATCCCAGCAGTGATCTTAGTGACGGAAAAAGAGTAGGCCTGACAAGGAGCAAGACAGAATTTGGAAAGAGTTAGGCCTTATAGACGTATGGCATAATGTCGGAGGACACACGCGTATTGGTGATACAAACGGTACTCATGGCTCGTGATAATCTCGCTCACGTCATTGCGGCCGACTGTCGGGTTGGGCGTTATGAGTTGGCTGTTGTACCAATACAGCCTCGCAGACAGGAAAGGGAAAAACAAAGGGAGAGAGGGTAGCAAAACGGGGAGGCTAAAATTACCAAATAGTCACCAGGAATGGCTCTTTGATATTGCGGAGGTCGTATTTGGTAGAACGGGGATGTGGGCTTAGGGCGGATTGCGGGGAGGGTCGATAACGAAGGTGAAGGCTGGGGTTTACATGTTGATGCCAAATCATATGAAATCACTCACTGACGAACACAGTACACCTATAAACTAGAAAATGTTGAGGTCTGTGTGTGGCCCTGCTGCAGCGTTCCCTGTCGAAACGCTCCCCTCGAAATAACAGAATGGTCCTTGGGGAGCCCGGTTTGGATACAAGGGCTTGCCTCTCGGAATGAACTGGCTGGGATGGTGGGGGAGGATATGGTATTCTACAAGCTCTATGCTCTCTCCGCAATTTAAGGCAACTCTAAAGGAGGACCCTAAGTGTAGAACTTTATTGCGTCGAGGGTGCAAAGATTTAAAGTAACGCTGGTTTACGGATGAATACAGGTACTCTCTCATATCATACTAGCTCTCGGAAACGTGCACCTGCCTCGACTCAATTGATATGCGGAAAGGATAGAAAATTGTGAGACGTGATGGAAAACATTTCTCTCAGGAGCTCTCTTCACCTCTATGTAATATATATATATATATATTACCAGCCTCCTACCTAATACCTAATTTATGTAAGTACGCGTTCCCGAATAACTGAAGGGCTATTTATAAGGTAATAAAAAAGAGACGTAGTTATTTGTGCTCGTGCCTAAACACGGGAAGAGAAAATATGTGTTAGCAACAGTTTAATAGAAAATAACATATCTTTATGGGAGCACAGAACCCGAGATCGAATGGCCACAGACATTTTTCCAAGCCCCGCTTTACCTCTCCTCCAAATCGCACTCCGTATGGGTTGCAAAATCTATCATACCATTCAGGAAACGCACTGCCAGAGACTGCACACATTATGAACTGTATTTCATAAGGTAAATTCATATCGTACAAGAGTTGACATGCTAAATAAGGCTTTAGTCTGCAGAGAACACCCTTGACTGGATCTTCACTGTTCAGACTTACCGGAACTATAGTGCTAGTCCGGAGTGGCGGTATAGGCCTTGGACATTGTAGTTTCAATCAATACTAAATACTAGTTTCACAAATTTTAGCATTATAGATGCACATCTGCAATGCCACTCTCAAATGTAATGGGTCCGGCTGTCAGTATGAGTGCTGCCTCTGCCCCGAGAGGGCTTTTGACCTGCACTGTTTGTCACTCTTTAGCGCTATCCGGGTCACCCTCTTGCCTGGACAGGGCAGGAGCACTGGGGGAAAACCCAAAGTGGCAGACGGCCGGGACATAACGCCACATATATGGATGGGCATGTGCAAGTGACAAACCTACCATCGGAGTGGAGGCATGCTAGGCTCTATCATGTCCGGGTGCCTCTCTCATGAGTTTCCGGGGAAATAGAATGGGGAACCGGTACTTTACAGACTGGTTTCATTGAAAGGCACCTCGGGGGATAAATCCAAGCCCCCTTCAGGTAGATTTGCCGACCCTGAAACGCTAGAATATTCCAGCCAGACTCCCCTCCCATGGACTTCAGATACGTGATACGAGTGATATAAAATATATACAGATTGTGTGAACCTACCATGAAAACCCCTCCTTGCTTTTCCAATTCCAATTGACTAGCGGCATAGTAGGCGGGCTTGTCCCTTGTAATAGATTGTGTTTTATCATACTTCAAGTTGAGAGCTTGCATACCTGACCTGAGATTGCCGTTCACTATGAGGTAATTCGCATGTCAATAGCTCAGTTGGTAACCACATTAAGGTCGGATGCTGGTGGTACCCGTGCGTGGTTGATCCCGCCGCTGGCGGTAAAAGTAGGAGAATGATAGTGGCTAGACTAACCAGTCAGTCTTTAGCGCTGTGCAGTGAATTTCAGCGGTGCCGGTACCATACAGGATACTAATAGGAAAAAAAGTACCCTACTTGATATCAACCCTATTGTCGTTTCTTACGAGTGATTGTGCATGAAGCAATCAGAACACTTAAGTTACTCACTATCTCCAACCATCACGCCAGCCCCTACCGTTGAAGGAAGGGATCAAGGTAGAAGGGTTGAGACCCATACATCATCTACAATCACAACAGCATGAACAATTAGGAGACATTCGAGGACCATCACCAAAAGTCTGAACCCACCTTACTCTAGTACAGAAAGCCATGGGAGAAAAAAAAAATAGTTGTCCAGCATTGACAAGGAATAATATCAGGAACCCTTACTAGAAACCCCAGAAGACGGGGTTTAACCTCTGCGTCCGGAATGCTCAGTTGTCAAAAGGTACTAGACGGGCCCTTCATTGTGGAGACGTAAGTGTCGGGGGAAATACAAAACCATGATACCATCCATAACCATGTGCTGCTAACCTGTACGAGGATTCTGTCTGTTTCTTCTCAGAGGAATCCCGCCGCCATCCGGTTACGAAGAAATAATAGTGTCTAGTTGGAGTACTAGCACCCGTGGCGGCATATCCCCTTCAAGTCCAGTTAGAAGTTAGGTAAACTGGTATACTGATATGCGTGTGCTGCCGATATCATATCTCCATTTCACACCTGAGTCAAAGAGATCCTACCAGATAGGAACATCCATGTTTCCCAGATGTACTCGAGTAGACCCAAGAATTTATTTTCACTGATGGGTGTGACGACTTCATGTTTTTTTTTTTCACTTTTCGCAGAGTGTTTATATAGAACTGTACTCGAGTACTTGCCCATAGCCATTAATGGCGGAAAACTTGTAGCGGCAAAGCAGGAAGTGTGTTGATCAATCAATAGGAGTATGATGACCCCCCCCCCGGCCACTGGGAAGATTCATGGATTTATGGAAGTTAGAAACTCGCATCAGTTGCGTTGGCGTTTACTCCCCACCAGAGAGGGGCAGTCAAAGATTCGGAAGGGGCTTCTCGGGCTGATAAGAAATCCCATATGAGACCGACCTAGGCTGGGTCAGATTTCATAATTCTCACACCGTGCCTATTCCGCTATCGGTAAGATGTTCCTGGTATCATATCCGGTTTTTTTCGCGTTTAGAGACCCGTTTTCTTCCACTGGAGGACTTCCCGTAGGTATCATACTTAGAAAAATCTGGATCACTGACCATTCCCGTAAGAGAAAATGGTTTTCTAGACCACTAGATCATGACAATCACAGGAAAATAAAACCACACATATTATTCTTAATGATTTCAACCAGGAAACAATCTCTCATAAGATTTTGCTACATGGCAGCTCGTCAATTCTGTATTTTGAGTATTGAGAAATAATGCCCAAGTTGTAGGGAATTGTGGCCCCATGGCATTTTGACCAATAGTATCCAGGTTTTTAGATTTCTGGACCTTTCAAATCTGAACTTGGGGGGGGGGGGGGGGGTGTGGTTCAGATTTTAGAAAATTTAGAATTTAGAAGATGGTTTTCCAGATTTTAGCATGAAAACATGCCAAGACTCTTTCTAAATCCTTTCCAGATTCCTACGGGAAGTCCTCCACTATTATGGGCTGTCTGTTAAATGCCTCATAGGATCTGCTGACCTTTTTTCTACCCATGTGGCTATGCACAGGCAATTCATGATGACTGTCAATGAGCCTCTTTCAGAATACCGTGCCGTGCCTGTTGGAACTTGAATAGAAGCTCGTGGAGGAATGTCTAAAATGGGGGTACTGGATCCAGGGTTAGGTGTTCCCCAGGCAGAAGGCTGCAAGTTTCTCTCACGTGAACGCTTGGCAATTATTACAACCCCACCACTATACTCGAGTTACGCCCCAGGCCCCTCATCTTCCAACTCCCAAATCAGCTCTCTTTCCACCACTACTACTACCACCACTGCGAACCAAACCTACGTGTACCATCAAGCGTGAATTTCCCACCATGGTAACTAGCCACCCTTGCGTATCAGCGGACCCCTTCCAGAAGACTAACACCTTTCATAACAGTCTTCGGATTCGAAAAAACGCCTAGCCCTCGCTATAATCGACTTCCTTTCTACCTCCACAAAAGACGGGACCGTCTCCGAGGATGACAAGGAATCAATCGAAGTAGCCCAGCAATGCATAGCGGACGCCTTCAAGGTGGACCCAACTGACAGGGTCGCCATGATCGATGCCCTAGCCGGCCAAACGCTCCAAAGCATCTACGGCGTTTTCGAAAAAATGAAACAGAAGAACACCCCTGCTAAGCCGGCTTCTCCACCAATCAAGCCAACCAGTACGCCATCCGGCCCTTCAAATGCAGAGAAGGCGGAAGCAGAGTCCCTCAAGGGTAAAGGTAACGCAGCGATGGCGAAAAAGGACTACCAGTCCGCGATAGATTACTATACCCAGGCCTTGAGAATTGTCCCAAATAATCCTATCTACCTGTCCAACCGTGCCGCGGCGTACTCCTCAACATCGCAGTACGAGAAGGCGATTCAGGACGCTCAGGTAGCCGTGGACACCGACCCTTCCTACGCCAAAGCCTGGAGCAGACTCGGTCACGCCAGATTCGCAAAGGGAGATGCGAGGGGTGCGATGGAAGCTTACAAGGCTGGCATCGAAGCCGAAGGCAACGGCGGTAGTCAAATCACCCGCAACGGATACGAGACTGCAAAGAAGAAGCTTGAGGAGGAGATTATCGCCGAAGCCGATAACATTGATGCCCCACCTGTACCCAGCCCTCCCCCGGGTGAAGGGGCGGGCGGAATGCCAGATTTGTCCAGTCTAGCGGGGATGCTTGGTGGCGCTGGCGGGCGGGGTGGTGGAATGCCGGATCTAAGCTCCATTATGAGCAATCCGATGGTTGCGCAGATGGCCCAAAACTTCATGAACAACCCTGCGATCATGCAGAACATGATGAGCAACCCCCTCATGAGGGAGATGCTGGACTCTGTCGGGGGCGATGATGGAGAAGGCCCTGGTGCGGGAGGTCGCAGTATGCCAGATCTGAGTAGCTTGATGGCCGATCCTAGTATAGCTGAGATGTGAGTATCTTGAAAGGAGTCAAAAGGAAAGAGCAAGCCTAATAATCACAATGTAGGGCCAAGAACCTAATGGGCGGTCCTGGTGGAGGCGGCGGCGGCGCTGGGGGGAGCGGAAACGCGTGATTGCTTGGGTTTTCGCTCCTTTCATCTAGTCTCTTTTACATCACTCGGATATCTCCTTTCCTCAATTCAGAGCTCTGTAGTATGATACAGTAATGATTGAATAAACGATATTTTCACTTACCTTAATCACGACGTTCATACATTAATTCTCAATAGGAGTTAACATCCTCTGCAGGGTGAATAGTGAATCATATGGAAGAACCAACTCGCTTGCTTTTATCTTCGGAAATGATTGATAGCACAGGAAAGAAAATGAGCCAAGAGAACGTCCCACTTGGACCTCCGCACAAGGAATGTACTCCATGCTATATCTAATTTCGCTCGCCATAGTTTAAGGAGTGCCTCCATAGGTTATAAACTCGCGGGCGGTCTCACGGTAGAGGAAGATCTCTATAAACCAACCTAATTAATGACGATATACAAGATATACAAGTAACAGCACACACGCTCCCGGGAAACAACGACGGCTCTGGTAAAGCAACGTCTCAGTTACCGTAAGACTATATCTCACTGAACTCTACACAACAGAACCATCCAACACCTGGCCATTTGTGGTCCAACAGATAACACCGTGTTTTCCTTCTCTTAGTATAGCCACTTAAACACCAGTCTTTTTTTTTTTTTTATCCTTTTTCATTTCGGAAATCCCATCGAGCAGCACCTACCTATATCTCACCACCACCATCACCCACTTTTCTTTCCTTTCTCTTAAGAAAAAAAAAAGGGGGGGGGGAACTAGGGTCAGGAAATATCCCAATGCAAGATACCGTTATTCACCACAAGCTCTCGTTTGGGCTCTGCCTACCAACATTATAAGGTAGTAACCATCATAAACCATACAAGCATGAAAAGTCCAAACTATGGAAAACATGGACTAGAAGCTCGAAAGAATTTTAGGATAGAAAAAGAAAAGAAAAATATGGTAATTGGGTGTAAGGAGCTGTCTTAGAAAGGATGCATGCATGAATAGAGCACATGGGTAAGGAGTTGAGGATGAATTAAATATTCGAAAAGGGCAAGCAATCTGAAGGTTAGAGGCCACCGCTCTTCCTGAGATGTTCGCTAGACGCAAGTTAGAATCACAGAGAAGGATGGATATACAGGGAGATGGATGGTATACAATCTCTTGTAAGTGTAACCGATGAATGGCAAACCAGTCTCCTCCCCAATTGCCAATGGCTGTGAACTTCCCTCAGCCATGACAGCCGCAAGCGCAGGGGCGGTTGGTACATTCTCTAACTCCTCAGTCGGGAAATAGCTATTGAGGGGTAGTATTAGCACTCTGCCTAAATCCTTGACAATTTTTAGAAGTCAAGAATAAGAATAAGACTTACGACGTGTCGGTAATGGACGACAAATTGGGCTTAAATGGTGCCTCAATCGACCTTAAGCTGTCCCAATTCACGCCATTGAAAAAGGGATGTGCCTTAATCTCGTCTGCACCGCGCTTTCCCAATCTCTTATCCGCCGAGGTAATCAGCCCTCTGATTAAATCCTCCGCCTCCGGGCTGAGGATGATCTCTTCTGGAAAGTAAAGTTGGGACTGCCAGTTGACAATTTTCCTATAAGTCTCGTGGGCGTCCTCGGCACAAAAGGGTGGCCATCCAACCAAACATTCAAACATAATTGTTCCCAAGCTCCACCAATCACATTCTTGGCCGTACCCTTTGTTAAGGAAAATTTCTGGTGCAATGTAATCGGGGGTTCCAACTGTGGAGTACGCCATAAGTCTACGAGATTTCCTCCAAGTATTGATCTGATTGCGATTTGAGACGGTAAGGTGAATAGCATCGACCATGACGGAGTTGCGGGCACGGTTGTTTGAAGTCTCGGGAGTATTGGAACTTCCTTCCAACAAACGTTGATAGTACTTTTGGTCATGGGTCTTATGAAAACCAGTTGAAAGGCCAAAATCCGACAGCTTTATATGCCCATCTTTGTCAATGAGAATATTATCCGGTTTGATATCACTAAGAAAGTAAGTGCAAGAACTCTATGGCTATGAAAAAAAGACATACCGATGAATAAAGCCAAGTTTGTGAACAGCCTCAATCGCCAGAACACATTGAGCCATATAAAATCTTGTAATATCCTCGCTAAATATTTCGTATTTAATGAGCATAGTCATCAAATCACCGCCGGGCAAGAACTCCATGATCAAGTACAGATATACAGCGTCCTGGAAAGAGTAGAACAAATTGACCACCCATGGGGAATCAGAATCAGCCAGAACGTCTCTCTCAGCCTTCACATGCGCTAATTGATCTTTTTTGAACATTTCAGACTTGAGTAAAGTCTTCATCGCATAAATTTTTCCCGTGTCTCGCTTCTGGACCAGACGAACTTCGCCAAATGCACCCTTGCCAATAACCTTGACAGTTACAAAATCATCGGCATGAAGGCGCATTCGCCGGAGCCGTAGGAATGATGACTCCTGTTTCCCGAGTTGTTGACGACGACGTTTTTTTCGTTCTTCGGACATCTTGCCTTCACTCAGGATATCCTGCTCAAGCTCAACACGTCTGCAAAAAGTAGATCGCAATCGTCAGTACAAGATATTCAAGTGATGGTTAAGCACGATCAATGCAACCTCCGGATCTGCTATGCCGAAAAATGTTTGAGCCTCACCTCTGATTTCTCTCTACGGCATATGCAACACTTTGATTGTAGTGAAGTTCCACCTTGACCTTGAGTGCTTTGGCTCTCTCCCTCGTAGACGAACTGAAAGTGCTATCATCTCGGGGAAAAACAACGTAATCATCTTTCAGGCTCCCGGAAGCTTGCAAAGAACCCGCCGTGCGTGGTCGCTGCCCCTGTGGAGAACCCGGCGGATTGTTCTGATTGCCCTGGCGTGCGCTCAAATGCTGATTTTGCAGCTGGTGTGCGAGCCCGTTTGCATCATAGCCCTGTCCTTGCTGCTGATAAAGCTGCTGGGTCTGAAATTGCTGATACTGCTGCTGTTGGGGAGGATACTGCGGATTGTTGAACGGGGCATTACCGAACTGCTGCTGTTGTTGTGGGAAGTAACCTCCTTGCTGCGGCGGCTGCCCTCCATAAGGTTGCTGGTACGCGGTACCAGGAGTAGTGGGATAATTGCTATTCGGGGAAGCACCGCGGTCTCGATCTTGATTGCTACTCATGGCTGCCGATAATTCGCTCGAGGAGAGAAGCTCCTGGATGAGGGGGGGTGGGATACTAAGATAAAGTATTAGCTTAGGTGCGGAGATATTTATCCGTGTAGATCACCAGAAGGCGGAGACCGAAGGAAGGGAAAAGGGAAAAAAAGAAAAGAAAGATTGTTGGAATAGACAAGTGGGTTGAACAGCGGGGCGAGCAAAGTGTCGTAGGGTACGTTCTCCTTTAATGAGGGGGGGGGGCAAGGGAGATTGAGTTACTTGCAATGCAGCTGGTATCGAGGGCGTAGCACGTTGTGCAACACACACAAAAAAAAGATTCCGTGATGTAAAGGTAGGAAGGAGAGAAAAGTAGTGTGAAGAGAGAAGGGGAGAGTGAATGAGTTGGGAGAGGTGGATTCGGAGCGGAGGAGAAGCAACAGTTAGATGGACCAAGAAGGGAAAGGGCGGAGGCGAGAAAGGGACTCGAAACTCGAAACGTCTGGTGCCGTAGTGGTAACCCAGGCATGGAGGACATACGCGGTTACTCGGGTATTCCGATCACTATTCGAGTAACTTATCTAGTAAGCTATGCCTGAGAGGGAGCAATTAAAAGCGCAACAAATTGGGTGTCGGTAAACTAGAATTACAATGTCTAATATCAAAGAAAGGCTCTTGCCCTCTGCCATATCTGTAAAGTGGATCAACTGAATGCTGGCACGGTGATACGAGGGCGGCTCATTACTAAATATTTCCACTCTACGCTCAGCATGATCACTGTTCGTTAGGGTGCTGTGATATCGTAAAGTATGTGGTGTAACTTACTATTCCATTCGGCTTCTCTGGCTTCTTCCACCCGATCATGCGGGAATTTTGGTGTACCAGAGCGGCACAGAATACCGGTATAAAAAGGTCTGGTCCTAATAGCGATAGCATCACAGAAGGACTATACGAAACTTATAGGCTATCATACTGCAGGCACAATTTACACACAGGCTTGGCCGAGTTCCTCAATCCCTACGGATATATACGGCGTCTCCGATAGGGTCCCAAAAGGCCTGACACTACCCCGACATTTGCCACCCGAGACAGAATTGTGGATAGTGGGATAGGATGAAACACTGAACAGGATCCACCGATTAGCCGTCCGCAGGATCCAAAGAGAGAGATGCTCTGTCTCAAGGCTTGTTGAGGAGACAATCGTTTGACTGCTAAGGCAGACTCGCATCGGAAGGTTGGGTAAATAAACCAAATCGGGATGGTTCGGCTGAGTTTGATTGTAGCTACGATGTGCGATCTAGACGCAGGGACCGCCGGCTCGGTATCCCTTGGATGATCCCGGGATGTCGGCGTTCACCTCGAACTTTGCCGGAGTGGGTTATGCCCAACACGCTTCTCGTTACCAGACCTTCGGCTATGAGCGTTGTCCCCATCCTGTGAGGAAAGGGCTCCTCCTCTACCGCACCTTACCGGTGTCGCTGCTACACCCCAATGCCTACATTACGGTAACCCACAATACCGGTACAAGGCAAGTACCGATAAGTCTTGGAGGTCCGGTGTGCCCCTTTGTCTCTGATTTGTTTTTTCCAATTGATCCCGTCCGTTCCAATTATTGTGTTACGGTACTGTACCACTCCGAGTATGATGCTTATAGCGGATTTCAGTGAGAGTATTGGGACCTATGATATTGCATACATTACTCGCACCTAGCCTAACGACCCCCCGCGCAGTATCCTTTCTACGTGCCGGTGGATTACATGTCAGATTGTTCAATCCCAATCGCATGTCCTGATGAACTAGGTCCATCGTATGATACCAGTACGTGGACGAGGAAAAAGTGAGGACTGAGAGCGTGTCTGACAGCTCACCCAAGTTCCTTGGGTATGCCCAGTCGCTTCCTCCTTTTGGTGCCCCAAGCGCCCCCTCGAACACAGTGTTGAATACTGTGCTGTCGGGAGTATACTTGTAACGCTTCAGGCCATCACCCCTGCCCTCCTTGGTACGCATGTGCTGCTGCTTGAAGAGGCAGGCCAACATCAGTAACCGCAGACCTAAATGCTCTCTACACGATCAAAGTTAAGGTTAGAGAACTCCTACTCTGGCATGTTATTAGATTAACCAAATTGGATCCCGAGCTTTCCGAGTAGGGCCCATCACAGTTGTTTGGATCTCCATTGGGTCACGAATAGTATGATATATCATCCCAGCTCCACAACTTGTAGCCCCGTTAGCTGGGAAATAGGTTAAGTGGATTTCATAATACAGGCACCAGGAGGCATAACACGGGATGAAATTTTATATTTTGAATTATTCGCTCGCAGCATTGTCTGCCAGCAATTTGAGCCTAAGGTGGAGGAATTGAGCAATTATGAAAGGGATCTTGAATCTATCATAGTCTATATATTTTTGTATGATATCATATCTGGCCCCATTGGCCAAGGCCCCAACACAAACTCAAAAAAAAAACCCAAACCGTTTCCCTACTTCATCCTCATAACTTTCTGTTTCGCCCCTTCTTAGAGTACCGATAGCTTTTGTCCATATACTACAGCACGCCGGGGTGGTTTTGAGGCTAGGATTGGGCACTGCTCAATGCCCCCACAACGATCTATCCCTTCGTTCGTTCCCGTTTTTCAAGCCCAAGCACACCTTTGTTGGTTGGAAGCTAGGGTATTGGTGGCGTGCCCAAAAGAGTAACATTAATATTTCACAAGTTCTTGAGTATACTCTCGGCTACTGAGGCATTCAGTCTGGGTCAAAATGCCAGTAGTAGCCAATTTGGGGAATCGGGACAAGATAAACTTTGTGGCTCTTGAAGTTGTGTACTCGAGTAGTGCCCAGAATACCATAGAATCTGCACTGTTGAGAACCGTTGTCATGGTGGGGCGCTAACTGGCACTAATGCTTGGTTATCTTGTTACCTAGATAAAGCTTACCTGTTCTTACTAATTCCATAATTTTTATATGATGGGGGTGTAGGCGGGAAAAACGAAGGAAGGGATCCCTTTGTTCCTTCCCGAGTTTCACGCACTTTTAGTGATTTTGGCGAGTGCTGAAAGCGCTCCTCTAATACCTGTTTGGGAGAGATGGTTGCCACCATTACCTCCGGGACTGCTGAAATTCAGGAAATATCACCACCCCTCTTGTCCCCTAAGACAGCGCATGCTTTGGGTTACTGCTGTAGTTCTCATTTGTTCCTAGCCTAGCTGTAGTAATGGGCATCCAAAAGTGTACACACCTGCCAACCCCTAATACCCTAATACCGTAAGGGCCTGCTTGGTAAAAATGGAAGAGGTGGCAACCATTCCGTTGTGAAATGGTTTGACTGGTAGAAAAGGTTGTTGCTAACAGTCAACCATAGAAACGGAAAGGTTGATAGCAGGTGTGCCAAACAGCCTTTTGGCAACAACCTCTTGGGAAAAGGAAGGAATGGTCATTTGTATGGGCCAACGGAATGGAACCATTTCATTCAAACAGGCCCTAAGTACAACAGCATTGCTTACTAATGGCAATAGTGGTGGCAAGAAATTTTTAAGGTTCCAGGTAGTGCGGAAGTTAGCTTTGTGCTTGGAAACGATCGAAGGGATAGAGGGTAGCAGCCCTAGCCTCTTTTTGTCTTGGCAATTGCGGATTGTGGGAACGTTGTTGCTCTGTCTACATCCCACCTCACATCTCAACCAGATTGAAAACCCTGCCAAAATCTGCACGAATTACCACCCCACCTCGAACCGCCCTACAATCATGGCCGATAAGTCCAAAATAGTACTGTGGGTGTCTCCTAACCCCTTGATTTAATCCCTTCTGTACATCCACTGATTCGTGAGGAAAAAAGACCGGCCTTTGTCCCACTCAAATCTGTTCAGGTCGACGCTTTGGTGGTTCTCAAGATTTGCAAGCATGCTTCCTCCGCACACCCTCAGGTTATAACTGGCCAGCTTCTTGGTATGGCCTCTCCTATCAGTAGCTCAAGGCTATTCAACTCTGACGGCATTCTAGGAATGGACGTGGATGGCGAGCTGCAGGTTACAAATTCATTTCCATTTCCCTCTACCGATCCATCGACCTCCTCCAATGACCTTGATAACAACTCGGCGTCCACCGCTGCTTCCGCTCCTCGATCAAAGGCAAGTGCTTGGTATCAGACGGAAATGGTGAGATGCCTGAGGGAAATGAATGTGGATGCAAACTCAGTAGGATGGTACCAGAGCGCTAATCTGGGTAACTTTGTGAGTTCTAAAGCCCTACCACTTGCTGGTCATTGAAACTTATTGGGGGGAATAGTTGAGCACGAATTTCGTCGACAATCAATACTTCTATCAAAACGCTCTTAACGAGAGAACTATTGCTTTGGTTCATGATACAGCCCGGAGTGCCCAAGGGGCTCTGTCTCTGAGGGCCTTCCGGCTTGCACCGCAATTTATGGCTGCCCAAAAGGAAGGGAAATTTACTAGTGAGAGGTATCTCCTGATATTACTGCCAAACTAGATTCGAATTGCCTAACCTGGTGTAGTCTTGCCAAACATAATCTCACTTACAAGGATATTCTTATTGAGCTGCCTGTTTCCATCCGCAACTCCCACCTCCTCACTACTTTCCTTCACCAGCTCGATACCCCGCCCACCCCCGATCCACTTAATCCTTTTTCCCAACCAAGCTCAACTCCTCTATTTCCCAACTTTGACAGCCTGGATCTCTCCATCGACCCGTTCCTAGAAAAGAACTGTGACCTCCTTCTTGATTCTATCGAGACGCACTACACAGAACTCAATAATAGCCAATACTACCATCGACAGCTCGCCCGTGAGCAAACTAAGATCGCAGCATGGCTCACTAAACGAAAACAAGAGAATGCGCTTCGCGCAGCGGCTAAGCAACCTCTACTCCCAGAGAACGAGTGGAACAGACTCTTCAAGCCACCCGTCGAGCCTAGCCGCCTCGAAACTCTTCTTAACTCCAGGCAGATCGAGCAATACGCTAAACAGGTGGATGGGTTCACGGCAAGCGTCACGGCAAAGATGTTCGCTGTGAATGGGGGATTGTCAAAGACACAGGAACAATTGTAGTTGTAGACTTAGCACTAGCTCACTCTCTTTCCCTCCCTCTTTCAGCTTCTTCTCTTCTGGGTTAATATTTTGCCTCGTGGACCGTGGGGTGGAAATGCATAATACATTCTGTTCACTTTTTCCTCTCACCTTTAATGGCTCAAGTTGCACTGGAGTGTTTGACTGGAGGTTTTCGGCGGCATTACGAGGGTTGCCCGTGAGATTCCTATGGGTAATCTTATGTTGCGATGGGGTGGCCGAGATATGGGGTAGAAAACGAAACGTTCGGATTTACGAGTGATATTTGGTGCTTGTAGACGGGTGCTGGGAGGGTTGGCCCACCGGTATCATAGGGTGCGGACAGCTGTTTTTGCCTTATACTGCCCTCCTCTTACAAAATACTCGAGTACTTGGCCAGGCTTAAGTAGAAGCGGCAAAGGGTTGGCTCCAGTTGAGTTGAGTTGATAAACTAACTTTTTACGACACTTCCCATGTGAATCTGCTCCGTGCAGATTATTTTCACCTCTGAAAGCTTGTTTGTTCACTCTCTACTTGTACGCCCTGAGCCTCAGCGTCAGCGTTGTACTCTACATCCGGGCTGGTTCTTGGCAAGCCAAGCCCACTCGAACCTCATCCCGGTTTTTATTTAGACTATCTTATTTTTCCTCCCACACGGACTGCGTCAAATTCCTTTCCACTCCCCGCCGTCCCACACCGCAGGAACAATTACACAAAAAATTGGCAAATGGAAACACAACCGCCACCACCGGCAGCGCCCCCGCCTCCTCCTCCGCCGCAGGGCAATCCTGCGTTCCGGGCAATGGGTAAGTGACACCCCTTTCATTGCTCGCCCCCCCACTTCCATAAAGGGTTGTTAACGACGAACCCAAAAAGGTCTCCCAAACATCCGCGCCAAACTACCCTCCAGGAACTGGTCCATTTTTATCTCCCTGTCAGCAGCTTTCGCGGCGACAGTCTACTACGACCGCCGTGAGACCAAGAGGGTGCAGAAGCATTGGTGCTCCGTTGTCGAGCACCTCGCGCGGGAACCGTTGTCGACGCTAGAGCTCCCGAGGAAGGTTACGGTTTACCTGAGTGCCCCGCCCGGGGACACCATCACTCCTTCTAGAGAGTACTTTCGGGAGTACATTAAGCCGGTGTTCACAGCTGCTGCCCTGGAATTCGACATTGTCGAGGGGAAGAAGAGAGGTGAGGTGAGGTGGAAGGCCGCGGAGGGGATCAGGAAGATTAGGAAGAGGGGTGGGGAAGGGGAGGGGGAAGGGGAGGGGGAAGGGGAAGGGGAGGATGGGGTTGAAGGGATTAGAAAGAGGAATGGTATTGTTCGGGTCGGAGTTCAAGGGGATGTAGTCGTCGGACGGCACACTTGGAAAGAGTACATTCGGGGATTGCACGAGGGATGGTTAGGTCCTCTTCAGGATCCCAACACCCAGCCCCCCCCTCCACCGCCACCTCTACAAGAGCTCAAACCACCATCCACCCCAACGCTGGATCAAGCCCTCGCCGAAGCTCCGCCCAAAACTCCCGACCCAGACAAAACCCCCCAAAAAGAGGAAGAAGGGGAAGATAAGAAAATAGTCCCCATCCCATCCCCACACATCCTCCCACAAGCCTACAGGACCTCCCCCACCCCCCGCACCCTCCCAGAAACCTTTGACCCCGTCGGCTTCATCCCACACGCACACATCCTTGGCTTCCTGAACACACCAATACGTCTCTACCGTTTCATCAACCACCGCAAAACGGCGGATCTCGCCGGCCGCGAAGCTGCCGCCATAGCCCTCGGCAAATACTCCCGTCCCTTCAAACTTGCGCCGGAGCCTGGCTCTACCATGATGGCGAATGAGGGCGTCACGGGAGAGCTTGAGGCGGATCGGGAGGGAGGGGAGATTGAATATGCCTGCGGACGGGAAGAGGAGGCAGAGTGGCCGAAGCAGGTTTGGAAGGAAGGGGAGGCTGGGGCGGGAGAGATTGCCGAGGAGGTGGTGGTTGATCACAGGATTGGCGGGAGGATGAGGAGGTTCGTGCTACCGGAGGGAGTGGAGGAAGTGGAGGCAGTGGTCGAGGCAGGGAAGGGGGAGGTGTAGCCCAGCCATTAGGGAGAGAGAGGGGGTATGTATGATACGATAGTGGGATAGAGGTTTTTTTTTTGTCCTTCACATTTTTATCATCGCCGCTTTTTAAAAAGTTTACTTTTTTTTTTTTTTTTTTTTTTTTTTAATTGCATCGGATGGCGCGTGGGGTTGCAATTGTGGTACGGGATTCTGTCTTGACCAGGGTGAATCATGAAACCTGAGATTACCGTATTATAGCAAAATCATTGACAGACGGGAAAACAATACAGAAAAGTGTCGTTCCATGTGTATTGAAAAAAAAAAAAAACCATTCTTGATACATAAAAAGCCAAAGGGAAAAAGAAGGAAAAAACTGGAATCTGTTATTATGGAACGGATGAATCGAGAACGCCGATTGAAGGAGGAATGGGAAGGGAGAAGTGAAAAGTAGTCCAAACACATTATATCCATCACCCGTTGCTTATGCGCCACCCATGGGGACATCCAAGCTCAATTTCGCCGCCTCCTCCTCGCCCAACTCTGCGACTAAGACCCTATCGAGAAGCATCTCCTTCTTAACCCACCCTTCCCTCCTCTTCCTCTCCAGCTCCTCGAGCTTCCGCTTCAATTCCTCCTGCTCCTCCTCCGCCCACGCCAGTTTCCTCTTAAGCAATTTCATGAGCTCTTTAGGCGGCATGACTTCCTCGTCCGGATCGAAGCCGTCCTCAGAGGTGTACCACTTGGACGCGCCATTCTTGCTCGCATTTTTGGTAGAGCTGGTAGGTGAGGAGGGGGAGGATGCGGTGGAATGCGAGGTAGCGGTGGTGTTTGGTTGGTGGATGTTTTGCGGGTGGTTGGGGTGAGATTTAGGGATAGGGTCGGAGGGACGGAGGGCTTCTGTTTCGTGGACCGTGCGCATGTGCTTGGCAAGGGCATCGGAACGGGTGAAGGATCTGTCGCATTCTGTTGCCCGGGCGTTAGCGCCGTCACCGGAGATGGGGTAGTAGTGGAGAGGAGAAACCTGCCGGGAAGAGTGCAATAAAATGGCTTCTCCTTCGTATGACTTCTCATATGAGCTCTCAATGCATAACCGCTCGCGTGAGCCATTCCTTTCCTATTGCAATCGTCCCACTCGCATGCATACTTTGCCCGCCTAAGCCCAATGTGCTCGTCGTGAATGTGCTTCACCAAGTCGTCCATGTTGCCCATATCCATGTCGCAGCCGTCCCACTTACACATTGTGACCTGCTCCGCATGCTCGAGTTCTTCCGCGTCCATGGGTGACCCTGGAACGGATCCGGAGGTGTCGGAGGAGATGTCACTGAGATTTGGGTGGCTGTGCTGGTGCGTGAGTATCGGGGAGGTTTCGGGCTGGTCGGAGAATGAGGCCGAAGCTGCACGCTTCACCGGCGTTCGTGGAAGAGTGGGGGGCGGAGAGTCCATTGAGGAGAAAGAGGAGAGGGAGGATGGTGGCGATGACATGGCGGTGATCCTACGTGTTTGTTTGGGGGGATCTGATGGTTAGAGAAAGTTTGTTTGTCGAGAGAGAGCTGCCCGACCAATTGGATGAGATGGCTAGGCTTCCTTCCCCCTACCCCCTTAGCCAGGGTACAAGCTTTGGATGCTCGAGATGTGTTAGACGTGTGGTGGTTGGGTTCGGCAGCGAGCAGGGAAGGGTGTTGGCACGATGTTTGGCAAGGTGTCAGCGATGCTTGCGAGGGTCGTAAGGTATGGGTATGGGTATGGGTTTGGGTATGGGTGCCCGTATTGTTTGGTTCCGTGACGGGTGCCGGCTTTTCGTCGGATTAAGCTTTTAGGCGAGTCTTGGCTGTAAGGTTGGTTTCCCGAGCTTCCGGCCGTGGTGGTTAGGGTTGAGGTGGCATTGATTCAATGGGCAAGGACCAGAGTGATTCCCGGAAGTGATAATATTATGGTACAAGTCGGTATGGCCCTTGAAGCTGGTCGGGGGTCTCCTGTTCCTCCATACCATCCCCCTTCCCCACGGCCGAGCAAGGTTCTATATTATATAATGCGAATGCGCGCGTGATATCAGAGAGTGTAACGCACAGCCAGATCTTGAGCCATTCAGAGGCACAAAAGATGGTGGGTCTGCTTACGATGGTCGAGAAATCGAACACGATTAATCATACCGCATAAATTGCTCCCTTCCAGTGGCAAAACCATGCGTGATGGGTTCGTGACTTTTCCAACTGTAGTAAATTGCCAACGCCTTCGATTTGGTTGGATGGTTCACACTGGAGGCCCCTCCTCTCTCACTTGGATCTCGACTCCTCGGAAGAGCTAAGATAAGCGTGACATGTGGTCGGTTGCTGCAAGCGCCAATTCTTTGCGTGAGGCTCCCAACCTCAACTGGTTCCAGAATCCCGATGCAGGAACACCAGGACAAAAGACCGTTGGATTATTGCTCACTCTTGCAATGGGAGAATCATTCAATCGTTGAGCTGTGCGTGAGCCTTCCCCCCTATTCACCGGAAAGGGTTATCGTCATATTTGCGCGTGACTCTTATGCGGGTAAACCTTATTTCGACCGCTTTGAGTCGCGCGTGGCGGGCGGACTAAGGTGAAGGGCAAAATAGGTCGCTTCCGCCGTCACAAATGGTATTCTTCCGAGTTCCTCTCCGTCCAACCCCCCCGCCTTTCCCGCTGAGCCCTCACCACGCCTGCCAAAGCTCGTCCTGCCTACGTCTACAAATATCATACCGGTACACTTTCTCTCCCTATCCTCACCACTTCCTCTCCGGTGGCAAACCGTCACTCGCTGCGAAAACAGTATTTGTCATGTCGTCAAAGGAAAAGCCGGGGTCGCCGGCCCCTCAGTCATCTCGAGAGCCGAAGGATGAGAATGAAGACGATGAGGAGGAGATAAACTTAATGAATGCCTTCATGTCTGGGGAGAAGACCTTCTATTCGCCCTTGCCGCCAGTAAAGCCTACGTCCACCAAGCCGTCTGGGAGTAGGAAGCGTGAGCGATTCCCATCCATCTTTCGTGTCGATAAGATGCTTATTGTCGTCCAACAGGTGTCGCGTTCGCCGAGCCCAGGGAAGAGCCATCAAAAGCACCTAAAATGGGTACGTCTTCGCCCTTCCTGCCCTTCTACTTCACCTAAGGTCATATCCGTTGTCATGTTGCTGGCGAAAAGCCGGTCGCCCCCGCAAACGCTTATGCCCCGTTGTGTTTGGCGAGACTGCTCCTCATTCTCGGCGCGTGTGGCGATGTGGCAATCAATGACCACATTGCGGGCTTTAGGATAGGGGATATTAATGCTGACTTTTCTCCTTTAGAGCACAGGCAGATTCCTATGCCTGCCGAACTAATGGTTCCAAACTCCCGTCGTACTCCTTGGAAGGCGTTAGTTCCCCCACGCTCCCTTTACCAACGATGCCCGTTATTCCCCGATGGGAAATTGTCCGTCAATTTCTCTTCCTGTTTATAACTCCCTTGATTATATACGCTGACCATGTTTTTTTTTTTTTTTTTTTCTTCTATAGCCCGAAACACCGTGGGTTATATCCTCGATCCTAGAACTTTACCTTATGGTAGCCAACAGACACTAACTCCAGCTCCTTCGCAATAGCAGATAGTTTGCCTTGTACCTTGAAAAGGCAGAATCCCAATTACTGGTGGTCGGCAGTCACACCAGAACATCGGATTCCTCCAGTCCTCAATGAGAATGAGTTGATTCTCCCGCTCCATCCCCGCATCCTCAGTGTCTAAATTTTCTCTAGGAGCGCAAATAATTCACGACTGGGAAATTCTTCACAAGGGCGCCTCGGCTCCTGAGTTCATATCATAGCAGCATGTATCAAGTGTCTCCCGGGCCAACTTGGACCAATACGGTGATAGTACATAGTTTTTTCTTCCTTCTTCTTTTTTGGGGCAACTAGGGGGCTGGGTGGCATGGGCTGTGCGTTTGGGTCTCATTTTTCCACAAAACTATTACTTGGGTTTCACTACATTATCATTTGTTTTTTTCCTACAGCGTGATTTTCTTTACATTTTATATTCTACAAACTATTTCCTCGCGCCGCATCGGCCGCGGGAAATATTTCCTCCAATTCCTTCCTGCTCCTTACTCACGACCTTTTATCCATTGGTCCAACAAATTTTCCATCTGCGCTCAACATCACGATCCCAACAGCCCCGCAGATGATTTCGGTCCCTCCACATTTACCAGATCATCACTCTCCCCAATTCCTACATCTATTCCTGCGACTTCCGGTTCGAGGAGTCGGTTCACAGTCCTCCAAACAGCGAAATGCACGCCCCCAAAACATTGTCTCCCACTATTTCTTCCCTAGGATACGGGTAATTAATTCCCCCTTCTGTCTATTAATCTGCTCCGAATCTAAATTGAGCGGTATGGAGACTGACATCGTATAAGCTTATGGAACTGTGGCGCTGGGCTGCCGGGCGGAGAAATCTCGGATTTCCGGGTTCTTGGGAGAGTGGTTTGCGTAAGGAACCGCTTAATATCACCCGCCGGTGTACTCACTTTGGCACTAACTCATGACATAGGAGAGAAGAAACCCTATACCTGGCAAATTCTCGAATTGATGGGACAGTGTATTTGTTTTTGGCTTGGAATATATAGGGTTAGCCAGAAAGGAGCAAACCAGTCTGAGAAGTTCAAGAGATCCGAGCGGGCCGTTGGATTTAAGGGGGAATCGGAGGGGACTAGATTGGAGAGGGTATTCTATCATGATAGTGAAACCCACCATATCCTTTGGTGGTACCCATTCCCGCAGCCGTCCTTGGACAATACTCAGTAAAGGAAGCAAACAGCAAGCTGGACCTTCCCGCACCCCAGACATTCAGTCTCAGCGCCCGTCCTACAGTTTGACGTGCAAGCGCTATCCGCCCTATCATAGAAAGTAATACGTCCAACCATCAAACCCCCAACAATCGCAGCGTCAAGAAACCATCAAACAACCGCGACTCACCAGCTGGAAACCGCCGCGGCCGTTACGGTGTTCATTGGGATAATCAAATGCCCGCCGTTGCCGACGTTATCAGGGTTCATCTCCATGATGCACTTGCCACCACCCGGACCCGTGAGAACCCGGCAGAAACCATCCTTGAGGACTAGGATCGAAGTGGTGTTGGATGTCCGGGCTGTTATATCACTCTTTATGCAAACGGGATGCCAATGATTTCTGTTCATAGTTTCTACTATCTACTCTCTCTCATGCCATGCCATACTCACATTTCTTTTGTCCACGAATCACTGTACATAGATACAATGGAGGCGAATAGATGACGCCCAAAGTATATTTCCGAGTAGATGTGTGCGGCGGTGCACTCTCCTAGTCGGTGTGTCGCAAGCAGAAGACGCTGGTCAAGGGAGGGACGGTGCCAAAGGGCGGAGGGAGAGAAGAAGGCGGGCCAAATTCACCCGGACAATCTCGATGAAAAGTTCACAAAGAAGGAAGGCTCGCCTGAGGTCACCGCAGGCGATATCATAACGCCCCACAACGATATCCCCAGAACCCCTCAGCTCACCCATCACCAAACCATACCTCCCTGCCAAGTTCCAACTTTTTCACCCGCAATAATTCGGATGGGGTGTATACGATGATGCATACAGTTCACACCAGCCAATCAAGTTTCAGCAAAAGCGAGCGCGCACACGAGTGATCCCCCGTGAGCACCGGGATCTCGGGCGGTGGGTGGGTGGGTGGGTGCGATAACCTCCGATACGGGCACCGCATAGTAAGTGGGTTTCACAAAGTGGCGTTTGTGGAGTGAATGAGTCGTTGAGAACTTGAGATTGGATCGATGGGTGGAGGGGGAAGGTGGGGAAGAGGGCTTCCGAGGCTGTGCCGGTTTGCCCTGTCCGTGCTATGCCGCGTGATGGGCATTGTATCATACATACTCGGTTTGCACGGTTGTTGTCGGGTTATGACTGATGGTATGATAGTTCGGCTATCATACTGCATCTTATCATATCGTATCGTACTGCACTTTTGTGGAAGGGGTGTGATTATTATACTCGAGTGCCGTACCGATACTGTACTTCCCGGATCAGGTACAAGTACGAATGTGGTACCGGGTAAGCTGGTGGTTTCGGGCTATCTGCGGGATGTATCTGATAGGTATTATCACGGCTCCAGTACAGTAATAATTTAGCTGTGGCATCTTGTCAGGTATGACTGATACTGCACCCGCGATACATCCGATACCGGGACCAACGCTGTACCACATAGTGCCGTGCCGTACGCTACCGCTGCAATCCGATCGCGGGTTATGATGAATAAAAAGGGCTCATCCTGGGTGTCGGTATCCTTTCGTTCGTTTTCGAGCACAAGGCTGTCTTTTGGACTACGGGATCCTTTAAAAATTTAGTTATTGCCACCCTTGCCGTCGTTAGTACGCAACACTGCTCATTACTAGGAGAATAGTGCTCGAGTACCGTACCGGTAGATGTATTTATTAGGGGTAGGGTGGTAGTATTGGGATAAACAGGGGGAATACAGAGGCTAGTGCAAAAATTCCTTCATTTGTATGAGTTGAGGCTCCCGGATACTGAAAAGGAAAGTAGTGCCTACTGTGATATGGCCAAGCGAATTTAATATCAAATTTAATATATCTACTCAAGTAGGCATTTGTTTTTCTCTTCGTTTTCGCATAGACGTCCACCCTCCTCTTGCGTTTCAATGCTTCACCACTGACCCAAGTGCTCGAGTACGGTAATTGAGTATTGTATGATAATTATCATACCAGTACCCATGCTCATACTCAAGCACATACTTCAGGACGCCCATTACTGCAAGTACGCTGAAAACGAATGAGAACTACAGCAGTAACTCAGAGCACGCGCTGTCTTGGGCGGTCAGAATGAATCAGCCAATCCACCGCACCCTTGCATCCGGGAGCGACCGTTGGACAGCAGTGTACCTTATTAATAACTACCAATAGCTGGACGCCCTCAGCCGCACCACAATAACCCACCGCGTGTTCCACTCCGATCCGTTCCATTCTGCTCTCCTCTCGAGAGGAAGAAGGAAGGAGGAAAGGAGGGAGAAGAAAGAAAAAAAAACCCCAATTCCTTCTTACCCCGCGCTAAAAAGGCCAATATCAGAGCATTTTGTTTCGCAACGACAACAAGTCACGGGGAGTATCATGGCTCCTCACGAACGGTCCTCGTTGTTCTCGGGTGGGTGGGGAAGTGAATACGGTTCCTACCACCGCTCCTACGGCCCCCGCTGTCGCCAGGGGGAATCCATCGCCCGGTTTTTCAAGCTCGCTCTCATATCTTCTTGCTTGGCGGCCGCTCTGTACTTGTACTTTCCTTGGGGGCAATTCCAAAGTACTCACCCGTTTCTCTCTTCCCGCACCTTTTCTTTAGCGTGCGGGGTGGCTGACTGACTGACTGACTGACTGACTGACGGCAGGAGCACAGCCAGTTCTATACACGCACAAAATCGGTGTGATAGGAGCCGGGCCGGCGGGGCTATCGGCGGCGTACCACATCCACCAGTATGCCCACAAGCGTGGGATCCCTGTCGAAATAGGGATATATGAAAAGGCCCGAGTGGGCGGGCGAGTGGCGGAGGTCGTCGAGATCGGCGGGGTGGAGTATGATGTTGAAGATTTGGGCTTCCACACCTCTGACCGGACCATAGTGGATCTTGTGCGGAAGTTGGGAGAGTGCGATTTGGGAATTTGGTCCACGGATCCTGGGTTGGGATTGAAGAGGGGGAGTTTTAAAGTGTATTCTAACCAAATATCTCCTCCCCACGTGCTGCGGTAATAGAGCTAAGTGTGGAGAATAGCTACGACGGCCATTCCAAAATATTTGACCGGACACCCCCAAAGAGCTTCCTGGAAGACTGGTGGCACTCTTTTCAACTCTTTCTGAGATACCATCATTCCCCGCGCACCGTCAATGATCTCTACACAAGATCCGTCAAGGCCTTCTCAAAGATTTACACACAAACCGAAGACCCCAGCATCACAACGAATTCCAACCTCATCCAGGATCTCATCCAGCGGCTCAACTTGGAAGCGGAAACGATAACCCCAGCGTCGGTATATCTGCATCAGAAAGGCGTGTCAGATTCCTTCTCCCGCGACCTCGTAAATGCGTGGGCTCGCGCTGCCACGGGGCAGAACCTTGGCAGCGTGAACGCATTCACCGCGTTGCGGAGCTCGTACACGGGTACTATTGAAATGGCCGTCGGTGAGAGGACGGGAGCACTGTTCGATTGCCTACTGGCAGCCTCCGCGGCGCAAGTCATCCCTATGGAAGTTACCCGTGTACGTAGGCATCCACCAAGCTGGGACGGGGAGTGGACAATTACCTCCTCTCTAGAAATCCCTTTCACACCCGAGGGTGAGGTCGAGGACAATAGGAAGTTTGAGGTGGACGTTGCCTTTGACCACGTAATCCTTGCTGCGCCGTTCTATTCTTCGAATGTATACTTTGAGGGGGCGCAGCTCGACGCTATCCCCCACTTTATGAATTACACGACGCTACATGCTACCCTATTTATCGTAGACTCGGGGAAAACCATGGGTGGATCCTGCAAAAATATTTTGACAACACTACAACCAGGACACTTTTCAGGAGGCCAGCTCAGGCCTGGCCCCGAAGACGGCGGCAGTGCGGGCGTTTACTCCATACGCCCATGGCGTATGATAGAGTTGAATGGTAGAGTCGTAGAGGTATACAAGGCCCTCTCGCCGGAAGAGATAGACAAGGATCGCATCATGCACGTGTTGCACGCCGTGGGCTGTAGCCACCCTGTTGAAATATTGGCACATGTTGAGGTTTGCCCCATTACTATCTACAAGAAAGGAAGGAAGGAATCTAGCTGATGGATGGGTTTTTTGAAACAAAAATCAAGATCGGAAATGCCTACCCAATCCACCACCCCCGCACCGCATTCTCCCACAGCAGACTCGCGGAGGGCCTCTGGTACACCGGTGGCATCGAGGAGATAGGCAGCACCCTGGAGCTAAGCGTGCTAATGGGAAAGATGGTTGCTGAAGGACTTGTGCGGGGGCTCAGGAAGTTTGATCTCCCGGCTAAACCGATGCAAGAGGGGGAGGCGAAAGAACCGGTGAAGGAGGAGCATAGGGAAGGGGACGACGAGGACGAGGATAAACGTCCCGGAAGGCCAGAGAGACCAGAACGCCCACAGAGGCCAGAGAGACCAGAACGCCCGCAGAGGCCAGAGAGGCCCGAAGCCCTAGTCAATGAAAACTGGCCCGAGCGTCCTGAACACACACAGGCATTGGGAAACCAACTGGAGGAGGAGGTGATGGTGGTGAAGGAGGGCAATGGAGACGATACACCTCCCAAGAAACCGGACCATCCGGATTGGCCTGAAAGACCCGGACGACCGGAGCGTCCTGGGCGCCCCGAGAGACCGGGCAGACCTGAGCGTCCTGGGCGCCCCGAGAGACCAGGCAGACCTGAGCGCCCCGAGAGACCGGGCAGACCCGGGGATGACTCAAGGCAGCCCGGTGACGGGGGGAGAGTGAGGAGGTTTTGAGGATATGATTTGTTAGGTTTACGATTTTTTATTTTTTTCCTTCCCACGATAGTATTATTATGATTTTCTTATGTCAAGGGATTGAAATTGCTGGGCTGTTGGGTTTATTTACTGTTGGCTATGGGTTCTGGGAATACCCTAGTTGAGGATTTTAGGCTTGGTTCTGCCAATTTCAACGATTTTAATTACTCCGCGTCCTGTTCATGGTAGTATCTTGTTGGCAAGTACGAGTAGTCGTTTGGCTCTTCAGGCGTTAGTTGCTACTCGGCGCCGCTTACACCTCATTCTCCTCGGAACAATATCGCACGAGAAAACGGGTCCCAAGATTTCTTGGTTGACCCGGTTCAATTTGACGGGTGTGAATGTTCTCCCTAGCCCATCTCGGATTCACGTGAGGTCACTCGGCAATATCTTTGAACTTCCACTTGAAAACGTCCGATTACTGCTCAATGCCCCTCAATTTCTCCTCCCTAGCGCAGACATACCAACGGGTATCTTTTCCCAAGAAATTATAGACAAAGGAAAACCTCACTTTTCTCCCGTCACGCGGGTAGCAGTTGTAGCATCTACCGTGGTCATGGTGCTGACACTAGGTTTCTCGGCTACCGGCGGCACTGCTATTCCCGTGAGAGTAGCATCCTCCTCCTTCTTCTCCTTCGCCTTTGATGCTGATATTAACTTTCCGCTTGTCGTTCCCGGGTCTTCCGGCACAGCGTCAAACCGGGCCTTGTACACTTCCCGTCCAGTTATCCCCGGCAGTGGGACATAGAAAACGGCTCCGGCGTGTACGCTGGTCTTCGCAATATCGGGGTCCAATTGAACTAGTTTCCCCGTGGTAATGACAATACCCTCTCCTACAAATGCCGGGCAAGCAACCTGCTTACTGGTGGGGACCTCAATAATTCCCTTAACATCCTTCGTCTTTGGGTCGATACGCAACACCTTGTAGCCACCCAGCATGGCCACCCAGAGATCGCCGTCCGAAGATATGGCGAGGCCGTCGGGGGCTCCAGGCCCGTGCTTCTCTTCGTCAAATTTGACGAACTCTTGCTCGTGTGAGATACCGCCTGTTTCGGGCTCGAAGCGATATGCGAATATTGTCTTGAGTTGGGTCTCGACAAGGTAGAGGGTGCTGTTGTCCGGCGAGAAACCGATGCCATTGGGAATGGCGACAGGGTATTTTACATGATTGAGGTGAGTGGTAGGGTCGCTGCGGAAGAGTGTGCCTTCGTTTTCCGGGGGGCCCAAGTCGAAGCTGTCATACCATTTAGCTGATAGGTCGGGGGCGAGTGAAAGCGGGTGCTATCGTACCTTCTCATAGAGCCAGCCCAAAATCTCCCCTGCACGTCAACTGCCCCGTCATTGATCCGCATAAGATCCTGCTTATCCTTATCACCCGGGAACAGGGTATTGATATACTCCAACTTTCCCGTCTCGATGTTCACTTTTCCAAAGCCGCGTTTAGCCCCAACCGCCAAATGTTCTTTATCCTGTTCCCCGCGATACCGGTCATGATCCCCTCAAATCAGTCTATCCACTCCCCTCTCGCAAAGCAGCTTCCCGGGGCATTATAGATACGTACTCCGTCAATCAACGCAAGACATCCCACAAGATCTCCAACCTCAATCCGGTTGAGGCTCTTCCGGCCCTCTCCCACATTGAAACCGTATATCACCGAGCGGGGTATGTCCGTAAACCAGGTGGCTCCCGTGTCCTCGTCGTGCACCGGCGACTCGGGTAAACAAAAGTCTTCGAGGTGGAGGATGGGCTCACCGGTCCTTGCGATTACTTTGAAATTCGGCGACATGTTTTTGATGGGGGATGTGAAATCGGTTGGGATACGAGTGGAGGAAGGCGCCACTAGACGTTTATATTCGCAACCCTGGCAGCTTATACGGTAATGCTGTACGAGTACAGGTATATCGAGGGGCATGAAAGCGGGAGGGGTAGTGGACGGAAAGTTTAGCCTAAACAACCTAAAAGTCGGGAATCCCCGCTTGCGGCCAAACTGGGGGTGGGGAGGGGCTTCAATACCCTGATTGTGGATAGTCTGCCGATATCTCGTGATTCTTGGAAGGGTTGTTTACCGTACCGAGTTTGGCAATTGCGCTATGCTTGTTTTGGAAATCCACAGGAGGTCACTCGACAATCTGTGCTCTCCCTGAAGCCCCTACAGGGTGCAGTCCATTCTTATCTTATCTTGGTGGGGGGTGATGGCCCGTTCTTAATCGCCCGGATCCCGAGTCAGCCGCCGGCATAAGAAGCAGATGTGCAGAAGAATATAGATGGATGAACAAGGTTGGGGGTACGGACAATGGCGTTGGCTTCGCAGTCGCTGCAATTGCGGGAAATGGCTCAGTTCGTCCGGAGGTGTATTCCAAAACATTATGTGGAATCGCGGAATGGATCAAATAAGGTAGATGGTGATGATGGGGCTCTTTCCTGTAACTGGGATGGGGGAGAAATTAGGTGGTAGGCAGCGTCTTTTTGCAATTGGTTGAACAGCTGCAGAAGCAATTAAGATGTACACGCAATTCATACTCCAGCATGACGAGACAAGTTTGTTAATTCTCGGCACCCGTCTCTACGGCCTTCACTACAGCGATATGGGGGTGTGATAGGCAGCAAATTGAAATCCGGTCGCATTGGCGGTGGATTAGGGAATGCATCCAGAGTGCGCGTGGTACTATTTTATAACAAAGTCAATTTGCGCCATTTCCCGCCATCCTTTCCCCAAGATCCGACGTTTGACCAGCAAAACTTCGACCAACCATATGTGAGAACAACCAGCATCCGAGTGTAGTGAGTCCATAAGTTTATATACTCCACCTTGAATATACAAGAAACAGGCCATGACAGTATTCCCGTCACACTGTTCTATCCACCCTAGCCCTTTCCGCAGCTAGCACCACCCTCCCCTCGGTATCTCTAAGCTCACCACTCTTCCTGCCTTTCATCCTCTCGAACCGCTGCCTCTCCCTCCGCTGCCGTTCGTCTTCGCCATCGCTTGTGTATTCTCCTTCGCTGCTGGACTCCCATGCTTCATCACCAGGCGGTCGCCTTGAAGCCGAACCAGCACCCCCGGCATGCCTTGTAAGCCGTGTATTTTCATCGTGGTCGGCCCCATCATCAGCAACTTCACACTCAGGTGGCTCGATCCATCCTGCAGGCACTACACATGGCAGTGCGACGCCGATGCTAGCCGCACGGTTTAGAAAGGCCGGGGCTGCTTGCCCGGTTAAGGCTATGCAGAGGTGCGAGGTGAAGTGGTTGCAGTTCCGGGTAAGTAGATTATAAGTAGGACCTAAAAACTCGGTGGAGGCCTGCTCGCTGTGAGTGAAGTGGCTCGACAAATGGTGGGATGGCAGGGAGGTAGAACTCACATCTCGAATTATTTCCTCAATCTCCTGGTCGCTAGCATAGGTAAAACCATGCAAAATTTCCGATCTGAAAGTTCCTCCCGGAGGCTCCGTTTTCGGTTTCGTCCAGTAGACACCAGTCAATCCTCGCCGGTCATGGCCGCCGAACGCATACTCTCGATCGTTGATAACGACACCAGAGTGGAGGAGACCGACACCGAGGGTCCAAACTATACTAGATAAACGGCCGGGCGGGAGAAGATCGTAAACGTTGATTATTACTTTCTTCTTCCGGAGATTCTGCGAGCCCGAACTTCGGGACGGCGGAGGCATCGTTGGTGTCAAATTTCGACTTGTTGCTGCCGCTGCCTGACTTAAGGTCGCTTGTCTGGTTAGATCCCAAGCTGACGTGATAGAAGAACTGATTGCGGGCAGGGAGGGGAATTAAGGAGGACTACCGGTAGAGGACATGTGTCGAGGAGGGAGAGAGAGGGTGCTTTGAGGGCTAGGTATTGTGGGCTCATCGAAAGGGGGAAGTTTATAGGGTAGGGCGAAGATCCTTATGAAAGTTCAAGTTAGACCGTGGCGCGGGTGTCCGCCGCAACAGGATTGAACAAAACGCTAACCCGCATAAACTAGCTGCTGGAGCGTTCTATTCCTTTTTTTAACACTCGAGCCCGAGTTACAAGTATTAATACTGTAACATAACCGTGGTCACCCAATCACAGATGAGATAAGCTTACTGCCAAGACATAAATCCTGTTGTTTCCTATTCTGTAACTCCCACACACTGGCGCGGACACACAATGGCTGGAAAGGTTTCAACCCCACCAGCATTTGCTCGCCCCACCTGTCTGTGCTCCCACCTGTAGTAATTCAGAGATTTCTGACTCTGTTATCATACATACCGGTACCGTGCCTCAACAGCCAGCCAGACATAACGAGAAGAGAAGAGCCGCCCTCCCTCTCTTTTCCTTGTGTCTCCCTGCTGTTGAACCCCTCATCCACAACAACGTCTCTCCTTCCTCTTGCCAGACGCAGCTCCACAACAACAATCACTGGTTGCTGTCTATTGAATCTCCACTCTTTCCCTCCAGCTTACCCTTCAAATTTGCATCCGTTCGCTGCTGCCACCGCGGTAATCTCCACCCGCTCTTACGCCAAAAAGGCCAGAAAAATGCCCCCGAAGAAGGCTGCTAAGGAGGAGAAGATTCTTCTTGGGAGGCCTGGAAATAATCTCAAGAGCGGCATTGTGAGATATTTCCTCCTCGGCGGTTATTGCCGACTATATTTGAAACTGATAAATTTCTTTCTCGTGACTATAGGTCGGACTCGCCAATGTTGGGAAATCAACGCTTTTCCAGGCTATCACTAGATGCTCGCTGGGAAATCCTGCTGTACGCATAATCTCCTTTAATTTCACCCCTGCCGTTCCCGTTGGCGTGCTTGGCGGTTGAGTACTTCGACGGTTCTGATCTTCCGACGCCTCTACAGAATTTTCCTTTCGCTACGATCGACCCTGAAGAAGCCCGGGTCATTGTCCCCGATGAGCGTTATGACTGGTTATGTGAACATTACAAGGTACTATACCTATTCTGGCCCGAATATTGTCCCATCTTGAAAAGTGTCCTCGCTGAGATTTTGGACTAAAGCCTGTCTCCAAAGTCCCCGCCAACCTCACTGTTTACGATATTGCCGGCCTAACTCGTGGGGCTTCTACTGGTGCTGGGCTCGGCAACGCGTTCCTTTCGCATATCCGTGCTGTCGATGCTATCTTCCAGGTTGTCCGTTGCTTCGATGATGCAGAAATTATCCATGTCGAAGGAGACGTTGATCCCGTCCGCGATCTTCAAATCATCAATGACGAGCTCAGGATAAAGGATATCGAGTTTGTGGAGAAGAATCTGGAAGGGCTGAAGAAACAGACTGCGAGAGGCGGTCAAAGTCTGGAGATGAGGAAGCTGAAGGAGGAGCAGGCCATTGTTGAGAGCATTCTGAGCTGGTTGGTGGATGAAAAGAAGCCAGTTATCAAGAAGTCTTGGGGGAACAAGGAGGTAAAATTATTCAAGATTTTATTGTATCTTCTCGGGCACACACTCCCTTCCATTACATGACGACAAAGAGTATCATACTCGATCATTAAAACCCAGCTCGATGAACAGCCTCGCCAATTACAACGCTTAGAGGCTCGTATTGATATGGATTTTTAATCTGATAATAATTCTCTACATATCCGTTTTTCAGATCAGCGAATTATTCTTTCGGGCTAGTGCTGACTTGGGCAACATTTATTAGGTTGAAGTAATCAACAACCTTATGCTTCTTACAGCAAAACCTGTTATATTCCTAATCAACCTTTCAGAAAAGGACTATATCCGACAAAAGAACAAGCATCTTCCCAAGATCAAGCAGTGGATCGATGAGAATTCTCCCGGCGATCCGATCATCCCGATTTCTGTCTCTTTAGAGCAGCGGCTCGCTGGTTTATCGGACGAGGAAGCTGCTGAGGAATGCAAGAAATTGGGCACTAAGAGCGCTATCCCTAGGCTTGTGGTGCTCATGCGAAATGTCTTGAACCTCATCAGTTTTTTCACTACCGGACCTGATGAGGTTCGGCAATGGAGTATTCGAAAGGGCACCAAGGCGCCCCAGGCTGCTGGAGTCATCCACACAGGTTTGTCCTCTTGTTTAGTCACTGCTGCTAAGCGCCTTCTGACTTTTTGGGAATAGATTTCGAAAAGACTTTTATTCAGGCTGTCATTTTCAGGTATGGTGACTTGAAGGAACTTGGCGACGAAGCAACAGTCAAGTCTAGCGGAAAGCTTCTCACTAAAGGGAAGGAGTACGTGATGGAAGATGGCGATATGTATGTTTCCTTAATCCCCTAAACTCCAGTGGCTCACGACGTGCTAACGTCATTTTATAGTGTCCTGTTCAAAGCTGGTGCTGCAAAGGGTTAAATCGTGTTTCCACATGTTTGTTCTCGATGGCATCAGATATAGGGTCACCTGCCGCCAACTCATTGGGTAGAAAAGGAGAGTAATAAAAACACACTCCTCAACGATCTCTATGCGGCTTGTCAGGTGAAGATGTGAGCTATAGATCCTACGGCATATATGTGCTGGGCCACACGCATCGTGTCATAGGTAAGGCTTAAAGCTTCTTTGCCTCAGTGCTTCCCGCAAACCTCCGTACACGATGTCGGTGCGTTGGAGGTCAGTTCCTGTGCAAACTGGTCTCCCGTGTGTGCGGTGTGGAATCACAATCGTGGAAATTGCCTCGTGTCCACATGAACTATCCCACAGGCGTTCGACTGCAACTCACATGTTAATCCACTACGCGCGCCATATAATATATCGATCCCGCAGAGCACATCACATCACATCACTATAGGCACCATCTCTCCACAAATTCAACAACCAATATCCTCACTAACCCCCTGTCCTGATTCCTAATACCCTGACACTTTTTGCTTTTATCTTTCCTAAGAAATAAAGGTCATCAAATCCCATCCCAAAATTCAGCATAAAAAAACAATGTAGCGACCACCGGTAAGGAACACATCTCCACAGAAGCATAGGGAAAAGGCTCCAGCTGCGGCGCCATAACTTACTCTCGAGCGATTAGCAGAGGAAACAATTCCACAAACTCCGTAGAAGAAAAGAGAAAAGAAAAAAGGGGCGTCCGCCCCCTTTATTCTCGGAAAACTCCTACAATAAAATCGCTCTTGAAATGAGTTTTTTTTTTTGTGTTTTTTAAGAGTGGGGTTGGGGTGTTGGTGTGCTTATATAGATGGTCGGCAGCGCTTGCCAAGACTTTCGGATAAAGGGGACAAAGAAGGAAAAAAGAAAAAAGGGAAAAAAGCAGTCGGGGTGGGGTAGGGTAACTGGCATGGGTAGACTATATAGACAACCGTGAAGGAAAATGTTGTTGCCTTTTTTCTTCTTCCTTCTTCCTTTCTTTCTTTCTTCAAGTAGAAAATATAAATCCCTCTGAAATATGCTAGAGCCTATTGTCTACGTCTGAGGGCATTTGGGTGTGGACAACAGAGGGAGAGTGAGATCCTGGTACGGGCCCCAAGTGTTACTGGCTTCTGCAGGTTGTGGAGGTTGGCCGGGTGCGGGTGGAGATAATCGTGCTTTGCAGTATTGTGCTCGCGTTCGAGAACGTGGACCAGGTGGAGTTTAGGGGAGTATTGTATTATTAATGATTGATTAATTACAGGTTATGAATTGGAGGATCTTTGTCCTAGCATCATATCTACTATATGATATGATACATTTTTTTTTCCATCCCACAATATGATTACATCATGGCTTTATTAACATCCACGCTAGATCTATGCCTTCTCGGCGACTTTAATCCTGCCCTCCCTGCCGTCGATGTAAAAAGCTATTTCTTTAATGTCGTCGTCAAGTGGTACGTCCTCACTCCCCTCCTCGGGTGAGATGTACTCCATCTGCACCTTCAACGGCGCGATGCCAAACATCCTGCCAACGAGGCCTCTGAGCGTGGACACCGGCAATGATTTTGGGATCTTCTTGACCAATGGATCCTTCCCGTCTGGTAGGAATTCCAGATCTATGAGTCTTGATGCTAGGGTCTTTTTTTCTTCCATGCTTCTGTATATGATGGGTTTTCCGTGTACTGTAGTTTGTTAGCTCTGCGGGCATTTAAGGGGAGAGAGGTGCCTACATTTGCATAATTCCTCCCAGCGTTTATGATCTCGCAAAACAGTGTCTTCCATTCCTTCCTCGACTTTCGCCATTTCCTTCGCTATCCGGTTGAGGTAGTAGAGCTCTGCATTAGCACGCTCGGCTTCAGTTATCTTGCTGTAATTCAGCATGGTGACCCTCCCAGGCGTCCTGGCTACAGCAAGCATGTGCGCTTCTTCTAGAGGTGTGCTGCTAAATAGCGGGTTATGTGAGATCCTCAGTGATGTTAAACATGGGAATAGAGGTGGGAGAAGGTCCAGCAAGGGGTATGTCCCTAGCGAGTTAAAACTAAGGTCCAAATGCTCGAGAGACGGGAATACTACGGGAGAGGACTCAGGAGAATGAATTGTCGAGATGGTATTATGCGCTAGAATCAACTTTTTTAGCTGAGGAAGGTTGGAGAGCGGGAATATTGACGAGAGGGATGTGAAGGCGTTCTGCTCAAGGTTTATTGTTGTTAGTGTGTGTGGGAGTGTGATAGATTTGGGTATTTCGGTGGTGCTGTTGCTGGCTGAGAGAAGGGTCTGGATTTTGGGGAAGAATTGGAGTATGTGGACTATCTGTGTTTGTATATTAGTTTGAATATGTGTGTAATAGGGGGGGATGCGAGACAAACGTCGGTCCAGTCAAAAAGTGTGTTGTTGATTTCCAGACTGCATACACCTTCGAACGGGGGGTCTCCGTCGCCGACCTCCAGGGAGGAGAAGCGATTTCCACTGTGATTGCCATTAGCCTTTCATGGGCCTTTCCATATCCTAGCGTAGATATAAGTACCTAATCCTCAACCCCCTCAACATCTTCAACTCCCTACAAACACCCGCAATCTCCTCCAGCCCCTCCCAAAGATTCCTGGAAACATCCAGTTCCTCAACCTCTACCCTCAATCATTAACACTCCCATCCCCTCCCCTTCCCAAGAATAGCCAGACTCACTAGGGCAAGTATTAAGCACCTCCGAGGCCCCATCCCCACGCACAATCCTCATCCCATCCAGAAGCACAACCTCCAACTCCCTCAACCGACCTAGTTTCTCAAGGATTTTATCAAACCCCACTTCTTCGAACACCTTTGTGGCCGACAGACTGATTGGCTTCCCAATCTCGAACGAGATGTCCTTCTCAGTAGTATACTTATTCCTCAGCGCCTCAAGAAAGGTAGTGGGTGGGTCAGGAACACGGGTTGTTCGGATGAAGGTGGAGGAGCCGGGGAGCTTTGCTATATATCAAAGGCTGGATTAGTACCTAATTTCTGTGCTTGAAGGAGAACGGGGGTCACCTTCAAAGTACCTCTTCCCACCATGCTGGCCCGAGTGTTTACCCCGGGAGACGTTATCCCACTCAACCCCTAGCCATTCACCCTCGGTGCCGGTTACGGGCCCAATGTACCGAATGGTACACAGGCTTCCGGAATAGCTTAGCCGTTGGCCGATGTGGAATGTTGACATTTTGGATTTGAGGTTGGTATTGTGTCATTTGCAGGGGAACTAGGCGTTGGTTGGTGCTTCTTCAACCGGGTAACGGGATCATGAGGGGTCATTCGTGAATTCCTGGATTAGTGTGATGCTTAAAGGATTAGATTCTGCGGGGGTAGGGTCGTTGATGGATCTACAACACAGCCCGAGGTAGGCCGGGCGGACCGGAGGGTGTGAATGAAGAAGGTATTTTGGTTCTACCCGCTATTGTAGCACGTTTTGATTTTTGACAAGATCTGACTCTTAAGTTATCACCTCGGGCCACTTACAAAAGTAATGAGGTGCAGGAATTACCGGGTGGAGGTGTCAAAGGACCTTGCAACTATGATATCCGAAGAGACGATTGATCAATTCCGGGCGTCACCCGAACCCTGATACGAGTGATACCCTATGGTTCCGGTGCCCAATATAATCTGAACAGAAAGGTATACTTACGTGTTCGGCCATAGAACGATGAAAATTTCGCATCCCGTCCGCTCTGCGGTAAACAAGCATCGTATCGTCCGGTTAGTACTACAGTGGGTGACCATGTGGGAATCCCGGATGCTGAACTCTTTTGGCCATTTTTTTCCTCCTATTTTTTTTTTCATGTGTTTAGGAGATTGTCTGGAGGATGGGCTCTAATATATAATGTAACCCCCCCCACTTCTGCACTAGTTTATTTGGACAGGGAGCGTTCTTCTAGGTGGTTGGGCATTGCTCCCCGGTTTGAGCGAAGGCTTTTAGGTGATGGCATGATAATCCTGGTAGTATTCAATTTAAATTTTTATCCTAAGCCATCACCGTAGTAGACTGTTTGTCTGGGTGAGCACATAGGAAGATGTGTGAGCATGTGCGTGTGAATACTTGGAGATGTTGATGTGTGAGCGGAATCATGTGAGCAAGGGTTTGGGTGAACAGTATTTGCATGTTTAGTTGGGGCTGAGCCCTGTTTGTGTTTTGTCTCTAAAACACTTCATGGTTAGCATCCTTTCATGGGATAGAACGAACTCTCTTCTCTACATCCTCCTCCAGCAACCGGCCTTTGCCTCGATCAATTGCGTGCACACCTTTTCACCACTACCATCATTAGGTAGGACATTGTGCCAGGAGAAGTGAGCTCGTTTAGTTGGTCAACGCCGAGCTTTGGGCGATACAAAAGATGGTTTATATATAATTGTGCTGGGTCTTTGTGGACACTCTTTACGGAGCCAAAAGCTCTCTCCCCCTACAATGTGGCTACCCTCGAGGATTTCACGTAATCGCTACACTCCGAGACCTGGAAGCTCTAAGATACTGGTCGTGTGTGGGGGGAAACTAAAAAAAAACTCGGGCCATTGGCTATTACACCCCAGAAAACAACTATTCCTAGAGACTCGCGACTTGACACCGCCCCTAGTACAATAAGAGATCTCAAGAAGCCCTAAGAATCACGAGGGCGGGTATGATATCCCTTACTATGACCACGAAAGTCCAAGGACCTGTAAATTGATGACTCGCGTATCATTACCTTACGCCGCGTCAGGACTCAAAGGTGACTTCGGAGTTTTATATGGGTGTGCCATATTATCATACATGGCGACCAACCACCTTTGCTCTTCTGGTCTATAGGTGGTTACTCTGTTCTGTGGGGTCTTATATTCAGTCTTTCTTTGTTGGTGAAAGATTCTCCCTATGATGTGGTACCTGTTTTCCCCGGCTTTGTTCGGCGTAAGGTGGGGCCTTGGACTTTTTTGTTAGGAGTTGAGGAGATGGTTGGTAACCTATGGTAGTAAATTGCTCTACCTTAGGATTGAGAAACTTGGGGGGAGTCATTTTGGGCTCTAGATGAAGAATTGGCGGGCTGTAAAGCCTGAGCTATCGGCCTGCCGTAGTGGGATTGCATCGTGTCTTGAGTGGGAGAGGATTAGAGTCACTGGAGCCCGGTCTTGCAGCAGGAGGAGAATTAAACTCTCGGAGATCTATGTGTGTGGTTTACTCTGATTCATCGCAACCCATCCTTCATCTATCAGCTGTTGAACTAAAGGGTGTAGCCGCAGGGCATAACATGATATCGTGACAGGGAATCCCCGGAATACCCCCCTCGGACTAGCCAATCACCCCGACTTGCTGATCCACCCATTCATGGTGACAATCAACCTAACCAACTCCCAATCCTCATCCTCGCCAACGTAATCACAGACCACAACACCGGTGCTTCCATCGCCGCGGTCCTTCCCGGCGACGTGATCGATAGCCAGATGTCTCTTTGTTTCAACGTTAACCTTCTCGGCAACATTCTCAGGCCAGCACCCCACCCTCCAGAAATAGCTCGCTGACAAAAAGTTTATAAACAACTGTTTAGTGGTATCCGGTTCTAAGGGCTTCGCCGAACGCTCCAAGTGCTCCTTAACGTAGATGACCTTCTTATCTATAGTAGCGGGCTCCTGCACCTCGCAAAAGTCCTGAACACGACATGTACGGGAGGGCGTATTCGAATCCGGGGTGTTATAATCCCAATGTTCGGCGTTGATGCCGAATTCCTGTATATCGCTTGGCAAGGTGAATCTGCGAAAGAGGATCGCTTTACCACGGACTTGGCCGAGGGTCGGTATGCTGTCTTCCAAGTACCACCGTGAAGCTTCCTTGTCGATGTACCCCTCCTTCAACACCTTTGCAAACTTGGCGTCATCGGCGTCACCGCGGCCTTCCCGCTTTAGCGAGATGATGATGCACTCGTGCGGATTTCCATCCAAGAATGAGTATGCAGCTTTGAGAACCTCGCTCAGGTTCTTAGGTCCCGTCAGAGAGACTGGGAAGGCGCCGTGCACGAGGATTAGGGTGTTTGGGCCGTCAACCTGGCATCTAATGTCGAAGAAGCGGATTCCGTTTTCCAATTGCTTCTTCGGGCCAACAGCCTGGCAGCGAACGGATGGGAGTGCGGTGTGGTACGTTGGGGTATTATGTGTGCCCGGGATGGAGATTAGGCTCAGCGGGGTCTCATCCTCCAAACGCTCCATCCACCCACCCAGCGCGGCGCTGGATAGGAGCGCGAGGTGGCTGTGGTTCCGGTGGAACACCGCGTTGAACCTATGCTCCGTTCCAGGACTCAGGGAGTGCACAGCCGGCGTATGCGAATTCACGTCCGCGCGGAATTTAGCCTCGCCAACCGTGAAGGCCAGTCGCACGACCTCGTCCTTGTTGATTTTGATCTCCGTCTGCACTATCCCAAAGGCCGGTAGGCGTATCGATACATCCTCCTCGGAGAAGGCTTGCGCGTTCTCAGCGATCGCATTGGAAGATGGTTCAGCCGAATGGGGAATGGAGAAGGTCTTCACGACAAAGGACGCGAAGCTGTGAGATAGGTTTCCGATGTTGGTTATGTTCTTTATCGTCACAGGTCGGGGCCCCGTGGGTTGTGGGAAGCGCGACACACGGGCTATGATTATTTCTGTTGAGGAGAGATTACGGATTGTGAGGTTTTCGTGGGCCATTACGGTGGTTGCGCTAAGTGGGGTCCGTGGGGTTCTATCCGGTGAGGCTAGGAGCAAGAGCGAAAGGGATGAGAGGAGGTTGGGATGAAGTACTCGAGTACAAGTACGAGTACATTTGGCGCGCCTAATTAGGGGGGCTGGGGTTGGTTTCGCCTAAGTCGCGGCAGAAACTCTTGAAATCCACTACCAGACCACCAGCAGACATCAATCAACCTTCTGCACACGATGAGCTTGATTTGACAGGCTAGCAGGGTTGCGAAAACCAGTTGATGAGATCCAGCGTGTCCGGTGGGTTGGTCCCATACCGTGTTAATAAAACGCTACTCCCCGAAAGGAGCTTGTCTTTGGAGCCGGCGATTACCTGGCCAGCGGACAGCGGATTTCGGGACTTTTCACCTTGTTCCGTCGGAATGGGGAATTATTTGATATCAGTACGAGTGCTATACCATTCCAAGACTCCGCAGTACGGCGGACAAAGCATCGTCGCGGTATGCTTGGAATGGAGATTGTCCCAAAATACCGTCGTGCTGCGATTATTGTGTTTCTCCAAGTTACATACGGGTACAGTATACTTTGTATTTCACTTCCTGATGGAATGGTGTATTTCTTTTTTTCAGGCGGGATTAGAAAATCTGTTTACGCACACCCGAGATCTCCTATGGTTTTGGTTATTTAGCGGAAGCTTAAAACAAAACCTTGGGTCGCTATTAGTATTTCATTTCCACATCGCAGGTCTACCGACACAACCGATCGAACAGTGCATTTTGTCAGATTGGAGTTAACTTGTTTGTTCGGGCTTGAGCGCCACCGTGAAGCCATCGTAGAGGAGGGGTTTGGCTGAAGCTGAGATTTCAGATCGCTCTCTTGAGATCATTGCCTCACGACAATTTCCTTCTAGAGTAGGGTATTTCCCGCCGTGTGGAAATGTGGGTCCCACGTTATGATACTGTATATCATAGCGGTTCACTACCGGTGCGCCCTCTTAAGCCAAGCCAGGAATAGCCCTCCCTGAATACTCACCAATAATCACTCACCTCGTTCGACCTTCGATTATCAGTCCTAGGTCCACCGTCCCCAGCAAAAAATTAAATTAAAATTAGGATAGCTATACACCAAGTATTTCATTATCTCCAGAGTTTTTATTATTATTATCCCTCTTCGTGGCAATCGATGCTAATTACCGTAAGGTACTTTCCCAGACGCACACTTATTCCACAGCGCGCTTCAACACCATTTAAACCTTCCCAAACCAGATATCCAGGAAGCCCAAGTGCGATGAAAACATGGCTCTCCGTTGAAATGCTCATTGGAGCATCATAATACCATGATACTCGCCCACTCCGGACAAATATTCATAATAAAGATTAGCGTGGATTCCGGCAACTCTGCGTTACCCGATCCGATATGCCCGTCACTAGGGGGGAACGAATGCCGAAATAGTTTCCGAGATCCCCTGAGACCTCATATGAAAGCGTGTGAACTATCCGGTGAGTGTTTATGCCATTTGAATTGCTGATAATCCCCTCACGTTGTGACTTGATGCGATAGGTTCGGTACTGTGCTGTACACCGCCTGAATCCCTCGGATCTCTGCCGATTCTTGTCACGAAACCCGCTAGTGCTTATGGTGCCTGCTATAATATAAATGAATGGCTCCAGCCACAGAAGTGGTGGTATATGGACGGGGTCACAAAATTTTGGTTGCATATCCCACCTGAGAGGGTCTGCCAAAACGACGAATACAGACTATATATGTGATTCTATCGTGGGTGTTGGAGAGAGACCGGGGGAGCGTTTTCCTCTATAGGTGGATTCATTCTGTCTATTGCCATTTCTCTTGTAAGTATGATACATACAAAAGTTCGAGTTTTCTGGATAACCTGGATTTTGATTGGGGTGTCATAGCTTGGGTCCTCACTCGGGCTAGGTTAAGCTGAGTTTAGGAAGGAACAACCCTTGTAAACCTACTATGGGGTCTCGGAGGTCACGAGTCACGAAATGCTGATGGGGGTTTATCCCCCGGATGTCAATATGATACAACTGGAGTGCTCTTGAGACCGAAGTCATGTGCCTTGCTAACGTTGAGGTGTTTGGAGAAAGACGCTAGAGTTGAAAAGGTTTATAATGCTGTTTCTCCGAAACACCCGGTGTTTCCTCCACAGATGGGACGGCGGGCCAGGAGCGAGCCCGGTTTCGCCTTGTAAACAGGCTACAGAGGAGTAGTCGATCGTATGCTCCTTATCCAGTAAGAGTTTGGCCGAGCCATAATCAGGGAGGAATGATCTCCCGCTACTCACTGCCGGTCGCCAAAGTTAAGGCCAAGGGCATGGCAGCAAAGGCATGCGCATCACGTATCGTAGAAAGTTACTCTATCCGACACATCCCAGGGTGCGCAATCATGCTCAAGGGCGCTCACGAAAATTCTCGCAACCCGCCCCGTCCTATTTCCGGACCGGGAATGGGTTAAGAATCGGTAGCGGGAGGGGGTATCTACAGGGCTCCCATGATGCGTGGGAATCCATCAACTGAGGGAATGGTGGGAGGTGAGGAAGGCCACTATCGTCATCACGATTGAGCGGATTGAATTCCCCTCTCTCGTAGCCTTTGTCCCTCGGTGTTTGCTCCGAGGAAACGTTGAAACCCTCCTCCTCTCCTCTTCTTTTCTCCAGTCCCCGTGGCCCACGTACACCCCCATTCCTACATTAGGCTGATCGCTCCTGTATCGGTCGTTGTGAGTGCACAGGTTTGTAACGGCAAACCTCTCCTCTAACCTTGAGGAGTGAAATCTTGGGACTTCTGACTGGGTGATACCTCATGATTCAACACCTCTCGGTGGATAGCATTTAAGAAGCGAGAGGCGCCAATTAATCCTCCGTGGAATCTCAATCACCCCCCTACCCCCTTTCATCGGACTAACCATATATGATGCCATCCTAAGCCGCTCTTCAATAAAGAACACTCACACCCAATCACTCGGTTAAGAAACAATGTTTCTCAAACGCGGCATGCGCAAACAGCTGTTATTGGGCATACCCATAAGTATCACGTGGTGCACCAGCTACCACTGCAGCGAAAATGGGCAACTCCGGCCCGCACGACACGAGTCACTGTGGCCAAATGCGTGGACATTGGACCAGCCGATCGTAGCCCGCCTCGATATGGGTTTGGCTCTGGTCATAACTCCGAGGGGATCAAGCACTCGCCCGGATCTGACCCCCGCACTCACCTCGTCGTTTATACGCCACGCGGTATATCACTGAGATGATCATATTATGGTGTTTCTGGATGTAGCCGGCATGGAAATCTAGGTGATACTCGCACTCCCACCACCATCACCATCGCCATCCACTACTACCGCACCCAGATGCCTCCCCCCCCCCCCCTTCGATCCATCCCATTCCTGCAAGTTTGCCAAGTCGTGGGATAGCATTTGCCAGTTGCACTCTCCATCCCCCTTGCTCACCTTCCTCTCGCTTCTGGGGTTCTAATTATAACATACCAGTGAGATAATACAGTGGCTGGAAGCATATTACGCCCCGGTTTTGCATATATACGGCTCTGCTATTCCGCAGCGTTGCATGCTGGCCTGACCGGACGAATGGATGAGTGGGTGGGTGCCGTGCCGGACAGACTTCTTTAGGTGTATGATGCCATTCTTGCCTTGCCTACCTGCCTGCTTGACGGACGGGTCCAAGGTAGCTTTTGTGACCGCCCGAACTGGCGCCATGCAAGAAGCTCCTGTCATATCCTCTACCCGCCTCCTTCACTAGAAGTGCTCACTCAGTGGATATGGCAAAGGTCTGACTTGGTAGCTTTGACCGATTCACTCTTTTTTTTAGCCTGCCCGCGAGGAGGGGAAGGACCCTCGGTGGTAAAGTTAGCATGACCGTGCCGTTATGGGAGGAAGAGCTAAAGGCTTTCCCAATCCGAGATCCAATCCAGCCCTGGCACTATAGCTGTGGTGATGCTCGGGGGGCAGTCAAAGGAGAAAGAGAGGAGTCGGGACACCTCTTGCGTTGTCCGTATCCTGGCTAACGATAAAACCACACAGCGTGACAGCCTCCCTCCATTCCCTTCATCGTTCGCACATTGGATTGGTCGGGCATTTAGAATTTTCGGAGGGATGGGTGGAATAATTCCTGCACGCCTGATCAGGTCAGATCAGCACTATTTTTTTTATTTTTTTTCCCTCCTCTTCTTTCCAGCACATTGACGGGAATGGGGCTAGACACAGGCTGCCATGACCGACCTCCTTAGATTACCTGCTTGCTTGCTTTGCTGCTACCGCAAGGCAAGGGAGGTCAAGATGTCATGTCGTGTTATGTTTTCGGACTCCTAGTTTGTCCATGTGCCGCTTACTTCGCGTCCGAGATGAACATCCTAGCTGGCCTGGGTCTTCGCTACCAGATGTCCTACCTACCTACGTGGCTGTTGTCTACATGAGACCAGCTAGATTCCATAACGCCATCATGACTGCTCTCTTTTTTTATTATTATTCTGGAAGAATTTCTTCTCCGCCCCACCCCCCCACCCCCCCGTCGTCGAAATCGAGAATCAGAGCAAGCACCTTAACGTACAGTAGTATGTACTCGTACAATAAGGGGTGCAAAAAAAAAAAAGGCGCTTTGTTTGTTTGTTTCAAAACAATTACCCGCAGGGGAACAGTGCAGGTAGTCAAACAGGTGAATGGGAAAAAATAAAAACGAAAAAATAAAATAAAATAAACAAAAAAATAAGCTCGCTCTCTCGCATCATGCGGGTATATCCTTTCACTTTTCCCACTTTTCCCTCCAGGGAGCTAGCTATCCTATCATTCGCAAAGAATGGCCGTGGAAAGAGAGCCAAAAAAAAAAAAAAAAAAAAGAAATTCCCACACTGTATATTTCTGCATGACAACTAAAAAAGGGAAAAGAGGAGAAAAAGGCTACAAACAGCTTATGAAATACAGTCAATCGAATACAAACCATATGCGAAAATATCATTGACCGTTGAACCATACCGCGGCCCACCTTGCCCGCCTCCTTCCAAATCCCACCCACGGCCTTGACTCGAAGAACCGTACCGTATGACAAGAAAAAAAAACATGCCCAGGACGTTCAAACTTTCCCCATCGAGTAACGCGCTGTTTTACTCCGCTTGTACTCCCGTTAAAGTAAGAAAGCGAGCAAGCCCCGAGACATGTTTCTCCGAATCAAGTTAACACGGGTATAAGTAGGTATGCACTATTTCTTGTACAAGTATTATGTACTCGAGTAGGTGAGGTCCGCCGGTAACACAAGGTCCAAGTTTGCTTCCTTCCTTCCTTCTTTCTTTTTTCCTCTTCCTTTTTTTCTTTCCTTTTTTCCTTTTTTCCCCTCTTTTTCTAAGGCGGCGACATAGAATGATTTTGGAAGGGTGGTACAAGGAAGGAAGGATGGATGGAAGTTTGCTACGGTGCACAGCACGGGGATTATGGATGGAAGAGATGTCGGCCGTTGACGCTTTGATGAATGTTATATCATACTATCCGTACGTTATGGCCCCTGGTTGATAATGTTGTGTATTGGTGTATTGGTGTGTGCGCTCGAGTATGGTAGTTGTCTGTGATTGTGGAGGAGGAAGAGAGAGAGGAGGGGGGGGAGAAGGGTGGTTTTTGGGGTCTGGTGATGCATCTTACCCGCGGAAGCGCGAGTACTGCATTGTGCTGTACTGTACTATACTGTATCGGTGATGGGGAGAGATTATGGGTGGTATTGTGTTGTATTGTATTGTGTTGCGCTAATTGGATTGGATTGGATTGGATTGGATTGGGATTGGACTGAAGCACGCTTCTTCCCTTTCTCACTGCTTTCGCTTGCTTGCCTACCTGTCGAGTTGAGTTGAGTTTTTGCTTGCTTCTTTCATAACCCGTCATATCATACCCACCTACTTGCCTGTCTGCCTAACCCGCAGCAAGATACCACCCATCCTTTTCAAAGTTGGAAAGTTGGGGATGGAGACCACCTCTCTCTCTCTCTCTACCTTATTTTGTCACTTCCACCCCTATTGTGAAGCACTCTCGACCGCATGCATAGATTTTCTTTTTCCATTGTGTTATCCTTCCTTGCCCCGTCACGACGATAATAATAATATTATGATAATATCAAGATGCACGATTTAAGGTATGGTATGGTATGGTATGGTATGGTATGATAGCAGGGGCGCCAGCAAAAGAAGAAACTGGACCTGGCGGGAAGTACCGGTGCTACGATATACAACGAGGCTTTGGAGAGCAAAGTCCTCCAAACGGTTCTTCAATACGTTTTTTTCCTTGGTGTGATTTTGTATGATACTTGACAATTGGAGGAGGTGGGGAGCTATGAGTATTGTGATGTGTGGGGAAGGTAATATTGTATAGTATAGTATAGTACAGAATGTAAATCGGAGGAAGAAGAAGCTTGGATGAGGGATACTGCACTGTACAGTATGATACAATAGTGGAAATGTAATATCGTAGGTGTCAAGATTGTTGCGAGATGTTTTTGTATTATAACCTCTGTTTTGGCATTATGATATCGTGATGGGATATGATGCTCTCCTAATTTATGGGTCCTTTTGCCTATAATACTGCCTTCCTTCCTTCCTTCCTTCCTTCCTTCATTTCCTTTCGCTTCCGGCTGGGTGATTGAAAATGTGTATAATATACAAGTTACGTTGTTTTATAAGAATGTTGTGGTATGTTTTGGTGGGGTATGCCGGAAGATGCATTATTATTATTATTATTCGTTTCAACATAGATGCACGGAATACACTACAGTACACTATCATACTCAAACCCCCCAAGGACCATTGAGAAATCTTCTCCCATCTTCACCAGCTCTTGCTGAGAAATGGTCCTTTCAAGTCTGTTTGTACCTATCTGTGTATCGTACCTAGCATAGCGGGAGGCAAGGTGCGAGGTGAAGGGTATATTATTATCGTATACTTGTGGAGATTGTGCCTTCCGTTACCCGTGAGTGGAAGGCCTATACAGTAATGATAATGACAATACGGTTGTGGAGGTGATCCGGTCGGTTTCCTCTTCCTTCTTCCTCCGGTACTCGTAGCCCTTCTGTTTGTTTGCTGTACCCTTCCTCTCCTTCCCCTCCCTGCCTTCCTGTGCTGCCGTTTTGTCTCTAGGAACTGTGCTCGTGGTAGGTCGGTACGGCGACGGGCAGGGGCATGGTATAAGTATTGGGGGGGGTTGGTGTTTGGATGTTGTTGTTTTTTCCCAAATATATTACTGTATGGTAGCGGTATCATGGAGATTAATACGCACACTGTATTTCGTAGTTGTGCTGTTCCAGACAGGGCGAGCAGCCACGATCGCCAGAGTATGATACCCTATCTGCATCGATTATGATTCGGTTTTGGACAGAAAGAAATGGATACTCGAGTGGGTTGGGAGGCGAAGGGGGTAAAAAAACCGATCAAACGAAGAGAGTTGCAAAGGGAGTGTGAGGTGAATGTTGTTCCGCTCGAGTCCCGCATCCCGAGGACTTCTAGAAGGATCACTTCCTAGACATTTGGAAATGGATTTCTTGGATTCTGCTGCTCACTCTCTGTTAAAGAGAGATGTGACTAGAGAGGACCGTGCTCCCTCGTATAACTTAGTACTGTACTCGTACAGCACAGCACTTGCCCAGAGTTGGCTGAGAATGGTGGTCGGTCATTTCAAAAGGTGCGCTATCATTGCCTCTGTACAGTACTGCCGAGCATCAAATCTCCAGTGATGGCTCCGAGTCTCAAAATGAATTCAGGGAAAATAAAATTCTATTCTGATCGTGATATTACTCTCCCGAGTCTCAAGGCGGGTAGTCAACGTCACAGAAGTTTACGGGGTAGACGGGGACTCTACGACCCGCGATGTATTATAATACATCAAAGATTTATGCACGGCCAATAACTCCAGACCGATATTTGAGTTTCCCACCCCTTTCCCACACCCACACCCACACACACACACACACCAATCCTCAAACAACTACCGTACTCGGGTACAGTACAGATAGCTCCCCCGAAAGTTAAAATCTTAAAACCCTCCTTCCACTTTCTCTCTAGCTCATCACCTTTCGAAGAATCTAGAAGACTATAATAAAAATTTGCCGTCGGGGAGACCTTAGCGGTTTGAAACGGGGGCGGGAGGAGTCAGAAGCTCTCATATTATCATATCATAAAGAATTCACCCAGGCCAGCATACCCTTTCTGCATGTTTATGCTGGGTAACTTCCCCTAACCTCCCCTAAACAGCCTAATTCCGTCTCTCCACACATTTCGTACGATACCGGCGGTTTACGGGGGGGGTGGTTCCGGGCGGTGGAGGTGCTGTATCGTAATATCGTTCCCGTATAGTACTGTACAGGGAATGTGCGGTGGGTAAGGGGGGGGGGTTGGGAGAGAGAATTGATGCCCTCGCAAGGCAGTAACTGCACAGCACCGTACCATACTGCACGCATGGTCGTGTAGAGCCAGGCATAGCATTGCACTCGTGTAATATCACACAGTTGCACGAGTAAGAGCCTAAGCTATGATACGGCAAACTCCGCCCACCATCCAGGTGCCGAGAGCATTGATGGAAGCGCTCGCTCGATTCCTTCGCCCGCTTGCATACGAACAATGTAAAACGGCTCGCCCCGTTTTATTCGAAAAAAGGTTTATGCAGCATTACTGTGCTGTGTGATACCGGCCGTTTTCAACAAAAGTAAGCTCGTTTAATTAGCATATTTCGTTTATGGAAGCTGCTTTCCTCTTCTTCTTTTCTTTTTCTTTTTTTTTCTTTTTTTTCTTGCTTCCTTTCTTTTTCTCCTTTCCCTCTCCCTAAAACCCCCCTCGCGCTTCCGTGCTCCATCATTTTTTTTTTTTCCCCAGCTGTGCCCGGGAACACGAACGGAAAATCCTGTTTGCGGTGGGAAAGGTTGATTGGTGCTTGTATCACCATGACCCATCGCAATTCCCCGGATCGACTCGGGCGTGCCGATTTGGCGACTCATTAATTTATGTTATCATCATTATTGAACCGAGCGTTACAGGGAAGGGAAGGGATTACTGGATGGTCGCTCCGCTCGCCATGATGAGATTTTCCGGAATTGTGGGGGTCGTACGGGTCGTCTGACTAACCCCGTGAAGGGGGCAGGAGGAGGAGGAGGTTAACATGATAGAGTTCCACGAGATTACCGTTGGTTTCAAGTGATCTCACCCATGCGAGCACAGGTATCAGGTATCATGATAAGCTAGTGCCGCCATGTATCATGGGCTGCGGTATCAATGATCGTCGGGGCCGGATTGGAAGTGAAGGGTTCCGGAACCAAGCTCACAGCCACCACAAGCCCCCCTCCCCCTCACCGCAGAGTTTATCATATCATACACGGTCGGTAGGGGGGAACAAGGAGATTGTGCAGTACCGTAAGAGAGCCCGTCCCCGCGCTTCTTCCTTCCAGATCCGCCGAGTGAGCCGGGTATCTATGCTTACACAGTCCATGCATCGGCTACACTAGATTACGATACCACAATCTAAGCCTAATCAACACACCGACGGTGCCCTGCACAGAGAAAATAGTCCTTCCGAGAGGTCTCGTGCAGTGCAAGTTACAATCCCATCTGCCATTGCTATCGAGAGCTCCTCCCAGCGAGGAAGCAGCATCCCCAAAACTCTCCCGAGCAACTCGTTACTCATCAACCCTCGCTGCCCTACTACTCCCCAGGCCGAAGCTGCAACGCCCCAAAGGGAAAGCGGTAGACTATATACTGTACAAGTGCATGCAGCAGTGAGGTGATTTTGGGATAACAGAAGATAGGCATTGTGGAAAAAAAAAATGAAAAAAAAAAAAAAGTCCTAGAATAACGATATATCAATCACTCCCTCTCATGGTCCTTCACCATCATCATTATGGTCACCTCGTCCTCCTCAGTAGCTTCATTGCGAAACACCCGTGATCCCTAACCACATTCAGGATCCGACGTGAGGCGAATTTTTGCCAACTAGGCCTTCAAAGAGAATATCGCACAATACAGCGGAGACGTAGCAACCCCGCTCTTGACCAACTTACCCCGCAAAGTTTGTGTTTGCGTACTGTACCCGCCTACATATCACACGGCGACGACAAACATCCAGCAGCCATAGTGTAAAATGTCCTCCAATAAGAAGAAGATCCTGGCGCTAGGGGAGATCATCCAGTAGGTTCAATTCTTGACTCCAATTCCTTTTTTTCTTTCCTTTTCTCCCCATCTCTCACGTGGGCATGCAAGGGCCAAGAGAAGGGGGAGATAAAAAAGGTGGCGGATAGGTGGGTTGCATATAGCTAACCAGGTGACATTAGCGCACACACATACTGGAATTCACTAAATGATATCGCCGAGATCATCATTCCCAAGGCACGCGGTAGAGCGGAATTCATAGAGGAAAGCAAATCAGGTGCATTCGATGGCGTCCTTTGTGCCTACCGAACCTTTCCTTCGGAAGCCATAACGGGCCGAATAGACGAGGAACTCGTAAGCGCCCTGCCAAAGAGCCTGAAATTCCTCTGTCACAATGGTAAACATTAATCCCTTTTTCCTCCCCTCTTCCCTTTCTCCCGCGAATCGCCTCCCAAGGAAACGAGATGATCACCATCACGAGGGATGCTGAGACAAATAAAACGAAAAAAGGTGCCGGTTACGACCAGATCGATCCAGAAGCATGCACCCGGCACGACATCCGAGTGTCCAATGTCCCGACAGCTGTCGACGACGCAACGGCAGACCTAAACCTCTTCTTGATAATCGGGGCCCTACGTAACCTGAACCAAGGCATGTTCCAGCTGCGCCAGGGCAACTGGCTCAAGGACGTCCCTCTGGGACACGACCCGGAGGGGAAGATCTTGGGCATTCTAGGGCTCGGCGGGATAGGACGCACACTGAAGAAGCGGACAGACGCATTTGACATGAAGGTTATCTATCACAATCGGAGACGCCTATCCCCAGACCTGGAGGATGGGGCGGAATATGTCAGCTTCGACGAGCTCCTTTCCAGGTCGGATGTCATTAGTTTGAATCTCCCCTTGAACGTATGCTTCCCCTTCCCCCCCTAGGATGGGTCCGGGTCCGCCGGTATGGTGTAGCACCGTACAAGACTCTTGACCACCTTTGAAATGGCTAACATATAAACCGAGGATGTGACCCACAAAAAATACCCACAATCTAGTCCGCAACAAGACACATACTCTCGACCAAAGAGTTCTCAAAGATGAAGGACGGCGTAGTAATCGTGAACACAGCCCGCGGCGCAGTGATGGACGAGGACGCACTCGTGCAAGCCCTCGCTAGTGGAAAAGTGCGAAGCTGTGGGCTCGACGTGTACGAGGAGGAACCGAAAGTGCATCCGGGTCTTTTATCCAATCCCAGCGTTATGCTGATCCCACACATGGGGACTCACTGCCATGAGGTATGGAATTGCTTTTCGCGCAAGCACCGGAAGTGGAAGGAAACTGATGGACTGGAAATAGACTCGAGAGGCGATGGAATGCTGGGCCATTGACAACCTGCACTCCGCAATCTCCACCGGGAAGCTGAAATCTCCGATACCAGAGCAGGCTGGTATGTGAATGTGAGCCATGTGAGTTGGCGGGAGGGACGGAGAGATAGATAATTACTAGATACAAGCTAGACCATTACTCATACATGTATTTATCCCATCTCCACACAAAGGTCCCGTCTCCAAGTCCAAGTCTCAGAGGTCCCGTATCAAAGTGGCGGAGCCAGAGCGAAACGAGTGATGATGTGTACCCACGATATAAATAGACTGGGCCAGAGAGCCTTTTTTTTTTTCACTTTGTTTTTTTTTTCCTACTTCTTTTCCTTTTTTTTTTTCCTGATCCTCCCTCACCAAATCGGTGGGGAAAAAAACACCGCCCCGCCATCCAAGATTCGGCAAAGTATGGATGGCGAGGGGCACTATATTTACAATTGCCATGAGTGTCACACCTGAGCAACACGCCAAGTTAGCGGTAGATTTGACAAGAGTTGGAGACAACGGACGCTCAGGCCGGACACGACGGGGTATCACATCATGGGACGATACCATAGGACACAGATCTGTCCCCACTACAAAATAAGAGAAAATAAGTTGCGATATTCGGTGTGAGAGAATGGAAGTAAGTAAGGATTTGTTCGACCACTACTATTTTGGCAAACTGACAGACAAGCAAGCAAGCAAGTAAGTAAGTTGGTGATGCCTATGGTATTTGTGATACCATGACCTTATAGAGTAGAATAGCGAAGGGGGGATTAATCAATTAATTAATTAATTAATTGGTGAATGTTGTAGTATGACGTATATACAGTGCTGTACAGTACTGTACTGTACCCCCTTTCGTGCTCTACCTCACAACCAAGCAGAAGCTTTACATGTGGTATCATGGGTATAACTAAACTATGCTAGACGGGAAGTGCTACACTCAATTGAAAAGATCGGGGGTATGGTGGTCTACCATCCATCCAACCATGATTGATCGATTGAAGAATCTCCTTGTGAGTGCCTTGCACTGTAGCATACGGCTTCAAGCAGTGGTAACAGAAAGAAGCATAGCAGTTTGTCAGTTATCATAGTTTGTGGGATACTGTACTGTGCAGTATGATACGATGCAGAAATTTCCTCCCCGCCTCCCTCCACCTCTACAGTCCAGAATAGCACACAGCATAGCACAATCGTGAATATCAAGCTGAGTTTTGTTCTATGGAATTGCTGGAGGGAGTATTCTGGGGGTGGGTGTGTACAGTACCGTATAGTACTGTACAATGCGGTGGGGAAATGCTGGGTGATGATATATTCACTGAACTTCAAGGGCTGATGCAAGGAAAGAATGGAATTGAAGGAGGGGAGGGGAGGGGAGGGGAGGTGCAAAAAGACACCAATGCACAGATACATAATCTCGGAAGTAGATAACATATGGTACGGTATGATTACTGTCGATATGAGTAGTGTACTTTACTGTACTGTACTATACTATACAAGGGACAATCTTTCAAAATACAGTATTATAGAGCGCGAGCAGGCCGCGGAAGAACGAACGGGCCGGACGTTCCCATTTTCATACATCTTAAATACATGTGAACCACAATATAAAAAGTGTCCATCCCATATCATCCATAATGCTGGACCAGAAACATATCATCACACCAAACACATCGCCAAAACAAACAGAACAGGAACGGAGACGGAGACGAAAAGGAAAGGAGGGTATTCCAGTCTGGAAACGACCCCGAATCGTAAAAAAACCAACCACACAAGATAAAAACAAAAAATATAAAGATGAAAATTTAATAGAACCCCATTATAGCAGTATAAACCACCATAAGGAGCTTTTCCACAAATTCTCTCACCCGCCCAAAAAAACCCCAACCAAAACCAGACTTTTTCAAAAGGCATATATGAGATATATTCCTTGGATCTTATGTACTTGACCCACTTCACTTCACTTCACTCTTCCTTCCTTCCTTCCTTCCTATTATACCCCTTGAAATACCACATCTATCCTACCCCAATCGACCGAAACCGAAAGCAAAACCGTCAAGGATGGTAAGATAATTACCACAACGGTCCACCCCACAGGCATTTTCCGAGTGCATATCATATCATATCATATCGTATCACATCACATCATATCATACCATAACCAACAATAACTTTATAAAATCTACAGTACTCGTACAGTATACGGTAATATACGGATTTGTCTTGGCTTTCCTTCCCTTTCCTACAACAAATACGATAATTACACTTTCATACTTGCCCATCCGTCAAGCACGATATATAATTTACCGCAAAGCAAACGATTCCCCCAATCATGATAATTGTAATCTCCAGGTTCTTGAAACGGAAGGCTGAAAGGAAGGAAGATGTTGGGAGGAAAAAAGAAAAAGAAAAAAAAAGACTATCAATTCTTCATCCTCACAGCTTTTAAGAATGTAACCCAATGGATAGAGCGTAAAGATTTTTAGTATGATACCGGTAAATGTACAGTATATGATAAAAGTAAGGGTTCGGGTTTGTTACATGCCATTCTGCTAGCCTGGTAACTTACTGTACTCGAGTACGGTACTGTACGCAATCGGTGTCATATATATATAGCACGGTATCATACGTACCGTCGATTGCGGCAAGGTAGAGTGGACTGGAGTGTGGACAGGGCATGCTGGTCCTGTCGGTCGGTCGGTCGGTCGGTTGGTCGGCCAGGGAAGGGAATGGAATGGAACGAGCGAACCAACGAACGAATGCATGAAGGAGTTAAAGTACTAAGAGGGGGGGGGGGGTTCCCAATTCTTTCTCTCCCCATCTCTCGCTCTCGTGCCATGTGAGCGATGCATACCGTACCTCTTTGCGCTGGCTGTGGAGGGTATTTATTGAATTGTATCGTGCGGTACGGGTACCGTACAGTACTCTACGGTGCCTGCGTTGTATCACACTGTGCACGTTTTTTTTCTCCCCCCCCCCTGAGGTGGGGGGAGAAATTCCAGTCTCTTCTCTTACACGTGGGTTTCCTAGTGGTAAAGGTATCATATCATACACCCCTGCCTTCCCCTCCCTCTCCCCCACTGCGGGCACCACCCCCGCGATCCGCGGCTCTGTAATGATACGATGGCTCAAAAGGGTGAAAAGAAAAGCAAAGGGAAGAGAAATGGAAGAAGAAAAAATGTAATTCTAAGGGTGAGAAATTTCGTTCACGACATTAATCAATCAAAACCTAATGGAAATGATATACGCCGAAAAAAGAAAAAAGAAAAAAGAAAGAAAAAAAATACCATAATATTTCTGTAATGATAGTTGCATTTTACTTTTCCCTCCCTCTCGTCTTCCCCCTTTCCCTATCTTCTCCGCCCCGTCCATCCACGTACTTTTCCCTGTTCCCCCGATAAACCGTTCCAGTTGTAAAGTAGAGTAAAAAAAAACTCCCAAGTCTATATCATGCCACGGCAAATGAAAAATGATGACAAAAAAGTGAAAATGAAAAACACAAAATCGGGTTAGAAACACAGTATGCAAGTAGTAACAAGAAATGAATAAATGGAAAGCAGGAAAGAGTTTAGATGGAGGATGGAAGTAGAAATTTTTAAAGAGAAAAAAAAAGCAAAAACCCAAACACGCCTTCGAGAGAGAAAAAAACGGAAAGAAAGTCTTTTGGAATCACGAACCACAAAGGGAGCAAAGCAAATATACCCGAGCACCACAATAGAAATGGAGGAAAAAAGAAAAGAACCGGACAGAGAAAAGAAAAAAAAAGAAAAAAAAAGGCTATAATCTGTGCCAAAACTAACTTGGTCTGAAATCCCCCGATGCAGCTCAACAATATACCGAAGCTGTCATGTATCTCGTGGAACGAGCTCCGGAATTCGAGGTTACAATAATAATAACAATAATGATAATAATAGTAAGCAGTGGTGAAAAAACCGGTGACACGGGAAACCAAGAACGAATGGTGAGCAGGCAAAACTAAACCCAGAATAACCACTGAGATGCGAGGCCATTGTGCAAAAAAAAAAGAAATACAAACCGACCAACTAACATTTATCCCATGCTGATGAATAAAAGAGAAAAAAGCAACAAAAGACAAATGCCAACGCAAAAAAAAAAATGAAAACCACCCGAAACTTTTTTCTCTAAGCTGCTTCGTACTCATAAAATTTCGTGTTTCGCGTAAGTGATACCAAAACCGAACACCGTTCACCCATCAAAACAAGAAAGGCGTATCCGTGATAGCCTCCTTCCACTGTCCCACTGCACGACCAGCAATCCGACGGCTCAAGGATGACCCAGGCTCAGCTGTCTCTTTCGCAACACCCTCGATGTAAGACCTCAGAGAGGCTAAGAGACGTGTAGAGTCTCCTGCCATCGTCGGATCCGCATGTGTGTCATGAGGGCGACTACTTCCCAGGTGCCGTGCCTCCGCAATCATCAAAAGCAGCTTGCGGGTCTCGTTTCCTTCAATAAACTGCCTGCAATCTGCAAGGATGCTGTCGACCTGTCCATTGAGCTTGGCATCCCCTCCTCTTGCTGCAACAGCTCTGGCCAAACCCCTCCAAAACAATGTTGTTGGGCTATCCTCGGTGGTCTTGTCCACAGATGTGACTCTTGGAGACTCGGGGACAGGCTCCAAGGGCTGTCCTGTAACAAGTGCTTCCACAATATTGATCCTGCGCAAGGTTTCCGCGCCATCCTCATCCCGGAAATCGTCCTCGTCCTCATCCTGGCGGTTGTCAGCGGCGGGAATTCCCGTCCCATAAACCATTTTCACCCCTGCCCATAAAACACCAGCACTCTTTCCTTTCCTCCCAATGCTGGGATCCTCTTCCTCCACGAACGAACCACCCCGAACCCGAAACCTCTCGAAAATCTCAGCCATCAGTTCCACCAAATGATTATCCGAGAGAACCTTAGCCAAACCTGGCCCCATAAACCATCCCGTTTCCAAAAACTTGTCCAATGCCGGAGCATATCGCAACTTATAGAGAGTCTTCATGTCCTCAACCGTAGCCGAGGGAGTGGCATAAAGTGTGGTTTCGCTGGACGGGGGTGTGAGAGGCTGCGAGCTTGAGACAACGGACAAGAGATCATCAATCTTGATTCTTTTCGCAGGGTTTCCACCCGGATTATCCTGCAGCCTACCCAGTCTGGGGGTTGTTGAACGAGGTATTGGGGTGACTCTATTGGTAGTAGTATCAGATCCAGAAGAAAAAGGACTGGCCCTGTCCAGAGACCGCTTCAATTCCGGTCTGAAGGTTCCCTGGGACTCTGGTAACATTGAGGTTGAAATCGGAGGATTCCCCATCATAGGAGCCTCAAGAGCCGGATCTATCGCGGGCTGATATTCATAGACTTCTGACGTTGGGGAGCTAGCCGCCGTGGAATTCGTCTGCGCACAACTCTGCCCACCTAACGGATTTGAAACCGGGTAAGAGAATGAATACAGTGGAGCAGTAGATTGGGGAGTAGAACCTCCTATAGAGGGAGCAGGCTGTATGGCCGCGGGCCCCGGCTGTGCTTTGAAAATGGGATCATATCCCAGACAATCCCGCTTGCTCTTTGCACAGTTTTTACACGTAGGATGTGCTTCGTCACACTACACAACAATAAATCTCGTAAGCGACTCTTCGTTCCAGATATATCACTATCGATCCGAATGGGCCCACTATAGCGGAAATCATCCCGCAGTTTATCCGAGCGATGCAAAAAAAAGAAAAAGAAACGAGGCCCAGAAGGGCGACAGGACGAGAAGGGCCCAAGTGCACTTACCTTAATTCTCCTTTTCCGGCATGTCAAACAACCAGTCTTAGTCCTTCGTTTAATCTCCTTCTTGTGCCTCCCACCAGACATGATACGTTCCTCACGCGAAGGCAATGGATAACGCAACGGTTCTCTCGGGGAAGACGTGATATTGCTAGGGTGGGCTCGGTGAGAAGGCGGCGATAATGCATGTGGTGGATAGTATCCATGAAGAGGCTGGGAGGGTGGAGGTAATGGTGAGCCCATCAAAGGAGAACCGATCTGCTGCTGTTGCTGCTGCGGAGGTGGTGGTGGCGGTAGTTGGGCAGGAGGATTCAGCCGTATCGGTGGAAGATTTAACGATGGTAACGGGATGGGCGGTGAATAGGGTGAGCCTCGAGAGCCTGGTTGCTGTTGCTGTTGCAGCCCAGGAGGAGGCTGGTATGCAGACATGGACGGTGACGGGAAAGAAGCAGGGGATGGGTACGATGTCGGGGTCGGTCTGGCTGGCGGTGGTGGGGCCTGCTGTTGTTGCTGCGGGATCATGGGTAAATGGGCATATTGAAATGGTGGAGAGGGCGTCGAGTGCGCCGAAGAATGATCCAAATGTTGAAGAAGTGGTGACCCCCGATGACTGTGAGAGTATCGGCCGGGTCGATGAGGATCGTAGGAACGGCCGAGTTCCACCATGCTCATCTCGATTACGGACCGGGGCTGCTGGTGTTCTGAGACCCTGATGAGAGTTGATGATGGTGGTGTTGTTGTTGTTGTTGCTACTGTGGCCGTCGGTGTTGTAGTGGTTGCGGAAGGTTAAGGCTGAGGCAGAAGTTGATGTTGAGGACACGACCACTGTAGGAGATGAGGATGAGGGAGAGAGGGTGGAATGAAGAACGGCTCGTGGGAGACGGAAGGGCCAGGACGGAAGCAGACGGGATGGCGATAGGCTGATAAAAGAATGAAATGGGTTGAGGGAGGGTTGCAGCCAAACACTGCGGTCTGGGCTGGATGGGTTGGGAGTGTCTGGTGTGTGGTGTGTGTGTGGGTGGAGGGGGGGGGTTGCGTGAGTGGTATGTAGGACGACTACCAGCACCAACGTTAGCGAACGGGAATCAGGCGGCCCAGTGAATTGTGGCGGTCACCCGGGGTGTAGTGGAAAGGGAAGAAAGGAAGGAAGAGAAAAAAAATAAAAAATAGCAGTCGATGGAGAAAGCTGCACTCGGGAAACGACGGCGGGTGGGTACAACAAGGGGAAGCGGGATAGGATATACCGTGAAGCAACAGTGTATGAGGATAGACGAAGTGGAAGGTGAAGGGAGGAAGAGTGGGTGTGCGGATGTGAAGGAGAGAGTGAGGGAGAGGCGATATGAGAGAAAGGCACGCAAGTGCCAGTAGTAATAGGCTAGGCAATATGGGAGGAAAAAGCAGTGAGGGAAAGAGGCCAGGTCAAAGTAGCAATGGTACAAGCACTGACGAGCACCCTGTGTCCCTTGACCGACTTTGGCTTTTTACCTTGACCCAACCCGACTGGGTGACTGAGTGACTTAAGGCTTGACTCAGATGACTCGACTTGGCTTTCCTGACTTGACCTGGGTCGACTTGACAGCGTCTTCCGACAGCCACAGCAGAACAGGGTGACAGCAAAGAGAACGGTAACGACGTGGGTGGTGCCTCGCCAGGACAAAAAAAAAAAAAGAAATGGGAAAAGAAAAAGAAAAAAGAAAAAGAGGCTAAGGGAAAACGGCTGTGGTATATATGGAAACCCACCAACCGAGTGGGAGCGACGGGGCGAAATTGGGCTTCGAACTTACCAGGAACCCACTCGGCTCAACGGGTTGAGGGCCTCTGGTGCCGAACAACTAAGACTCGCCTTCCTTCGATGCCTTCCAGAACTGTCCCAACCGAACAAGAAATAGAAAAAAAATTTAAAAATTGAACCGAAATGAACCCCGATATGAAAAAATATCCTGGAAAAAAATATCCCCAAATAAAAACGAACAGCGACGGTAATATAAAGGCAAATATATATATATATGTATATATATAAAAGAACGCCAGACTCGGTTCGATTATGCTTATCTCTAGCACTCGCTGCGGCCCCCGTTAGTCCCTCAACACGATGGGGAGCGTGAGTTTCGAGTAAAGGAGAAAAGATGATGAAAGAGAAAGTAGCTAATTGGTTTGCAGGACGGATAAGATAAAGTATGCATGTGGGCACGCGAAGCTGCGTCTACCGGTATACGTGCTGCGCGTGTATTCTATGGACTTGTGTGTGGTTGGATTGATCTGCGCGTGTGGAGGAATAGAAGGACGAATCGAAGGAGGAAAGAAGGATGCAGGTGGGAAAGGAAGGGGGGAAGTGGAAAAAGAAAAACAAGATTATAAGACCCCGACCAAATACTGTACAAGCAGCAAAGGAAGGTGGCACCGGGGGTGGATTAAGGAGAGGAAAGGAAGAGGGGATCGGGGTGAGTATGTACCGTTACCGCGGCCCCAGAGCCAAATACTCTATTGTGTAAACTACCCAAACCAAGGCCGTAAGGTAAAGTTAAGCAAAGCGGAAAAGCTATGATACCGCAAAGTGCCCGTGGTGTAAACCCCAAGGAAAAGGTGCCGGTATCAGAAGAGAAATGGAAGGGCACCGCAGGAAGTAATATTGGTTTCGAGGATTCGCCAAACAAAGAGCGGCAAGTAAAACCCAACGAGCACACGGGGTTTCTATTTACGTCCAAGTGGCCAAAGTCAGCATTGAAAGCCCCGAATCCGCTACCTGAATACCGGCAGTGCTTGCAAGATTGATAAGGGGTGGAATAAAGGTAAGGGATGGGGGAATGGGCGGGGGGGGGGGGGGGGTTGTAGTGAACGAACAAGGTAAATGAAATCAATGTCAATTTAGTCAGTCAGGCACGACGTGAAAGAGTCAACAGTACGCTACCGAGCATACGCAAAGGTACAGTATGGACAGGGTACCATAAACAAGCTTATAGGGAGGCAGCAATAAATAACGCTGCCAGCTGAGAGAGGAGAAATTATCACGGGTACCGCACTGCGTTGGCAAAACCTGTGGTAACCTGGGTCACCACACCCTTCCCCCCCCCACCCTGTATACCGGTACTCGAGTACACAGCTACCTTCCGCGCTCCGTGCACAGAGGTTACAGTGCTTAGGCTGAAGGGGGGAGAAGATCGTGTGCTCGATTTATTGCCCGGTTGATGCCAATTCGATTCACTCCTTGAGAAGGATGACCGGGCACAAACAGTTGAGCAGGAAGTACTGTACTACCGTATACTGTACTGCACTGTACACTTGGAGCCGCAGGAGGCAAAGGAGACGGACACGGACATGGAAAATGTGAAAAATGATACCGGGCTGTGGGCAAGTAATTGTAGGCCTCGTGGACAGAGGAGGCCCCTCTCAACCGTGACCCCCTCCACCTTGTGGGGCACTATTCCGGCGAGACATGAGATGCGAGATCTGGGTCCGGATATAGTAGGATGAAGCAAATCATTTTCTCCCTTCAGCACGATGGTAATACACGAAAGAGAGAAAAAGAAAGGAAAAGGTTGAAAATCTTGAACCTCAAGTCAATTTAAAACCCGGCCCCCGTTTCTAGTTCGCTACGCCGAGCCATCGTTGGGACGTAGGGGGTTCCTGACTGGTCGATATGCAGTCAGTTGGGCATGATGAAGAGCTTCAATTCGTGGAACAGGTCATCAGCGCACTATCGATAAAATGGCCTTCGCATCTTTGCCCGGTCGCTCGCTTTCGAAAAGAAAAAAAACACAGCAAGGTACAGTGCGGCGAAGTCAGGACAGCTGTCTGCGATGTTGTTCGCAGCTCGGGGTGACAGCTCCCAAATCATGTTGATCGGTTGAGATGTATTCCATCAGGCTTCCCTTCCGGCTCTGCTGCGTCTCCCTTTCCTTCTCCTTCTGTGGCTCTACAGTGTGGTGGTGGCCGCGTGGGGTGCGCAAGTGCAAATGTTTTGTGGTTCCACTAAACCATCATCTTTTATAGGAGATACGATGCGACATGACAGGGCTCAACACGAAAACCCTCCGGAGCACGGAGGGTCGGTTCTGACAGAGGGCTGTAACAGTTTTGTCATAGCACCGGCATACTACATTGTACTATACAAATGAGGCAAACCAATTTAACGACAAGGTGGGAAATTTTAAGGTTTGAATGACATGAGTGCAGGGCAATCTCGAAAGTGGCATGCGGTACAAGTTCAAGACGGGTCGAAGAGAGGGGGTGAACGCAAGCCCCTCACGCCCACATTGGGATGAGGATGAGGTTGGGCGATGATGAAAACGGGGTAAAATATGGGACTCGAGGCTGATGTGATGGACCCTGGTTTCGTGAGCATTGAATATGTTGAGGGGACCGTTCGAGGGGCGTGACAGATTGGCGAGAGCAGGGTGCAGAAGGCAAGAGGGTGAGAATATGCAGTCGTAAAATCATCGCGCATCGGCAAAGCTTGGGATATGCGTTGTACAGTACTCGATCATAAAAGTGCATATCCATTGGTGCAGTCCCCGTACTCGAGTACGGTACACACACGCATGGGAGAGAGAGTGCTTCTTCCTTGGCTTGCTCTCGATTCCTCCGATGGCCTGAGATGCCGAGTGACCTGCTACGATGCGACATCCGAGTGGGGTACGGTGACCACCCTTCCAGCAAGGTGTACGAGTACTGGTACGGCGCGGTACCGGTATTACCGCATACCCGTAGCAATTGCCGGTACCTCGATCTTCCCCACAAATGATATCGCCATTTCCCTCTCTCAACGTCGTGAATCTATTCATTCCCAGACATGAATGGCAGTCACCATTATCACCATCGCTCCTCTCTTCCCCCCCCCCCCCCGGGTAGGGCACCTCCTTCCATCGCCAATCAAAGCGTTGCTCATCTCCGGTCGTCAGGACCAACAAATGGGAGACCGTGAACCATGGTTTAAGATCCCTCACTCTGGGCAAAATTGAAAGGGCAACGGGAAATGGAGTGCGAGAGGAATACAATGCTCTTCTAGCGATAAAGGGATTTGGTCGAACAGAATAGAATGAACCATTTCTCTGGTCCGTGATGTTCTTAAGGCGGGAGTCGGTTCCCGTACAGTCCACATCGTGGCTGTATGCCCATGCACGTCGTCATCACCCTGCGTTGACTGAGATGTATCAGTCTAAATTTGGATCAGGTTGCGAAGCGAAGCCACGGGTCCGCATTTCAACTCCACTCATCCATCCCACTGGCCGGAACCGTCACCATCCCTGCTCATCGTCGAATTCTGATTCGATCAAGTGAGCCCCCTCCTTGACTGCCAGCTGGCATAAGCTATGATAGCCTTCGGTTTGCGGTGGTCGGGAACGGAGGAGCAGGGCGTGGTATCATAGGGATAGAGGGAAGCCTCACACTTCCTCAGCCGACAGAGGGGGGGAGCTGCCCTTCGGGAACAAGCCTATTGAAAATACCGGTAGAGTACTTGAACGGGTAGCTTTTGTCCCTTCCCATTAGCCTATCAGAAATTTTTTGCCCATATTTTCCTCACCCCTCTCCCTCTCCCTGCCTCTCCCTGCCTCTCCTTGCTCTTTTCCTGCTCGAGAGGCATCTCCTCCATGCTCTCACCCTGCCAAGTTAAACCATTCGTCAAAAGATGGCTTCCCGGAAACTGTTACCCGACTTGGCCCCACCGCAAGTTTGACACGGCCCAGTGCTGGAAAACCTACTCGTGCCAAGGTTGCAGCGCTAGGGCGCTGCAACCCCCGAAACTTCGCTGGCTCAGCTTTCAGGGGCACTCATCCTGAGTGCCTGACAGCTCAATGAAAGATTGCAGCTCAACGATAGATTGTGGCTCAATACAATTTTGTGGCTCAACAATACATTGTGGCTCAACATGAGTTTGCAGCTCCATACAATTTTGTAACTTAATGACAGTTCAAGGCTCAATGACAGTCTATAACTCAATGATAGTCTATCGCTCAATGACAGTCTATAACTCAATGATAGTCTATTGCTTAATGACAGTCTATGGCTTAATATAATCTTGTAATTTACTGGCAATACTATTACTTCAAGACATTATAAATGTTCTGAGTATAAGATATTTAAATAGTTCCTTGTAGTATCACTTTGAAAATCAAACTCCATCCTCCTGACTTCAAACTCCTTTTACAAATCAATCGGTTATGTCTACCTTATCTGCTCTCATTCCTCCAAGTCAACGTGTGGAGCCATATCATGATATCGAAGTTCGAATCCAGGCTGCAATTACCTTCCTCGATGAGACTGGAGAAGATACACCCAATATTGCTGCACTAGCTCGCAGATACGAAGTTCCCAAGCAGCGATTACGCAAACGGTGGCAAGGTCAACAATCGAGACACGAACGACCAGCAGCCAATCGAAAACTCACCGAGGATCAAGAACTGGCTGTTTGCCAATATCTAGATCGTTTGGATAATATTGGTACCAGTGCACGGTTACCAATGGTCACTGGATGTGCAAATACGATTCTACGAAATGCACATACCGGACTACTTCCTGCACCGACTGTGAGTGCACATTGGTCAAGGCGATTTCTTAAACGTTATCCTGATTACTTTATTCGAAAGCAACGCACCATTGATATCGACCGAAAAAGCGCACACCATCCCGATAATATTCGTGAATGGTTTGACAAATACAATACTATATGTCAAAAGTACA